TGTTTTTGGTGGTTTTTTTTAACTTGAAATACCTGGCAGTATCAGTATCAGATATAAAAGCCTCCATAGTTTTGAAGTGGTGAAGACTCTTTCTTCTATCCATCTCTCTTTCTTCAGCTGAAAGAACAAAGCAATGCCGCTTAATGCTTCTCCATCCCAGCTGTGATTTACTGCCTTGGAATTTCTCATCCTGGTTTCAGGTGAGAGTCACTCCTACGCTGCCAGAATTTTATCACCGTGTGGTTCTCCTGATCAAATGACAGTGCAGTCACAAAGCCGCAGAGAGAGGCTTTATCTCCGAGGAGAATCAAGCAAGCCTTTGTCTCCTGCAGTATCCACCCTGCTGCCTGTCTCTCTGCTCTCCTGTCTGCCTGCTCTGCATGAGCCCGTGTATCACTTTATCAGGTTTGTAACACCTGTCTGTTTGTGTGTCCACCTGTCTTTCCATCGTCCAATGCCTGTCCATCTATCTGCCTGCCTTTATCGGGGCCGTCGTCTGTCTCTGTGCAACCCGACCCGCTCGTTGTCTCTGGTCTTTTTCAGAGCGTGACTGGTTGGCTGACCGACCTCGGGGCTGATTAGAGTTACCTACCGCAGAGCAGCCGGGACACACACACTCACACGTAAACATGAATGCACAGGCGGCTCATTCAGCCTCGCTCTGGCTCTAAAGACCTGGCTCGAACTGCTCACCATCCGCTCATCATCACCGCAGACCTGTGAGTGTTTAAGACACGCAGTCTAATCTGATTAACTACGTATGTGCACACAGATCCAGCTTTGCAGGCGAGGCGGACGTCTTCTCCTTATTTTTAGGAGTTTACATCAAGGAGGAATTTTTTGGAATATGACAACATACCAGTATATATATGCTCATGTGCACACAAACAGCTATAATTACAATATTACTCCATACAAGGGAAAGTAGTGGAAAGCCCAGAGAAGCTGTAGAAAGAGAGGTGTAAATAGAAAACCGGTGACTCACATTCTAGTGGCTACACACACTAACCACACACACAAACTCAGCGTTCACCCACATGAAGCCAGAGGAAGCATTGTGTGTGTTTGTGTCAGAGTGTGGTGGATGAGTAGGATGAGTAAAGACCTATTTATCGTCACTGATGTTATAGTTACTGGAGCTGTTATCAAGAGGTTTTTCTATGTTTTTAAATGAATGAATGAATGTGTATAGTGTAGACACACAGTCTGTCCAGACACTCTCTAATGTGATACTGTTCTATATTAAAGGAGTGATGCTACTCCTCAGGAAGTGGCTGTGAGGGCACTTGTTTACTTTTTCTCAAAGTTAGAGGCTCTTCAAATTTTGTAAAATACAACATTTTCAGTGGCCCTTTATGTCTTAAACGCTTTATATGTGATTTTTTGATCCAGCAGGTGTCGCCCCTTGAGCACCAGCATGAAACCAAAACAACTCACGCTGCATTGTTGTGTTAGCATGCTAATGCTAGTGATCTTTATTATGCTGGTATCTTCACACTGCATGTAAATTTACCTGAAATGAGCGTGATCTAGAAACACAGTTAAGCAGTGAGTACAGTATGTTATTCTTCTTTTCTCTCGTCCCTCAATTAAACAACTTTTATACACGAGGGGAGGAGTCAGCCGGCCGTCCCGGCGATGTAAACAAAGTGAAGATAGGACTCTGAAAACTCTGAAAACATCACAGACAGTGGGACTCGGGTGTTACACCCATTGTAGACAGTCATGACTCACAGAGTTATTTTCAGAGGATAAACTTGATTTCTACATTTAAGTGTGAAAAATCACATATAAAGCCTTTAAGGAGGTTCGGGTATCGTATTAGGATGCCTCCTGGTCGCCTCCCTTTGGAGGTCTTCTGGTTATTGTCCAACTGGAATGAGACCCCGGGGAAGACCCAGTGCTCTCTGGAGGGATTATATATCCCATCCAGCCTGGGAACGCCTCAAGATCCCCCCAGGAGGAGCTAGAAAACAGTCCAGATAAGCGGAAGAAAATGGATGGATGCATTTCTTGATTTGGCACTTTGATAAATTTTCAAAAAGATAGAAGTCACAGCAGAATGACATTCATTGTCTCATAAAGGCAAACCCATACATCCACTGGCCTAAAATAATCAGGACCAATATGGCTCATGGTCTTTTCATAGATTTACAAGTATAGCCTATATGTTTTGGGATATGTGTCAATAAGAAACTTTTTTTTAACCAAATTTAAAAGCCAGAAAATCAAAAATGCAACACTGAAGAAAAAATCAGAAAAAAGACAGAAGTGTACAAACTATTTAGGTGCACCTAACCTTAAGACCTTAAGAGTCCTGAACACACATCACATTTGATGATTAAACCGAAGTCTTTAACTGCCTCCCAGTTAGTAGGTCTTGTTTCCTACGCTGCTGTTTGATGCTCAACATCTGACTACTGCCCTTCACTTCATAAAAGTTTAAACCAAATGTTCCCTTTCTCACACCTCTATTCCAGAAACTCCACACACACACACACACACACACACACACACACATACACATATACACACACACACACATACACACATACACACACACACACACACACACACTGCAATGCAAGAGAGTCATCCAGAGGCCACCCTCATTATCCAATGCACAGGTGGCGGAGGTCTTTTTCTGGATGGACTAGGAACAGACCAAACTTTCACTTTTTTACATGACCATATGCAAACACAAACCACATACACACACAGATATGCACACACTTTCTTCTACACACCTCAGAGCCACTGGGGCTAAACTCTGCGGTTAATGACTTTCCCACCCACTACACAGCATGCACATGTTGAAGCCGTTAACGATAAGTGGCTTTTTTCAAAACTTGGTAACGTCCTAATGTCCCTGTTAATCTCACATTCCTCACTACAAAGGCCACCGAAACACAGGCCAGCGATTTCACAGAGATGACTAATTTTTGTCAACAACTTAAATAATGTTAAAGTCACATTTAACCCTCTGATGACTGGTGCAGGGGAATCAGAGTGACATCAAAACAACACTTTTATCCTACATTTTCAGTTGGAAACCAAGTCACTGTTTTTAGTCAATATCACTCTTTTTTACTTTGATGAATTATAAAGGCTGACAGTGCTCCAATGCACTTTTCTCAAGATGATACAGCAGACTCAAATCACTGCACAACAACACATTAAATTGATATTTCTTTCCAGACCTTCCAGAGGAAAGTGCTTTAATAAAACACAACTAAGGGACAGGCGATTTAACCATGTTCATACCTGTCGGCTTGGCTTTTTCTCCAGAGTTAATGTTTGTCTATGAGAATGTATTATTTCTGCTGCTGTAACACTGTAAATTTCCCCATTGTGGGATAAATAAAGGATTATCTTCTCTTATCTTATTTCATAATTTCTATCATATTATTGAAGGAAGCCTCAGCCCACAGAATGGCTATCCCCACCTGCTCAAAAAGTTGCTCATCTTTCCCTTCAAATGTCCCCTTTCATTATCTTCCTAGAACAATTTAGAGGATTGTGCTTGTTACATGGCTGACAGCATGAGACCGCACTCCTTTTTGGATTTGCTCCTCTAGGTAATCACCTAATTAACCTCACCTGTTTCACCCAGCAACTGAAGGCTCAGCACGTAAGAGGCTCCACATAAACACACACCAACTCTGCAGCTCTCTGCCACTCATGTTGGATCATCATTCTCTGTCAGTGTCAGTGTTTGTGTTTTGGATCATTGTTCTGAAAGGTTTGTGGTGAGGTTGGACTCGGTAAGTTGGGATTTCCCCTACATTTGCGACCCTTACTTAGTTAACTTTGTTAGAAACACTAAGTAAGTGTGGTTTGTCTCTTTCAATATTTGTAGAGAAGTTAGTTAGGTCTGATTTTGTTTTGTTGAGTTTATTTCTTTGGCACATCCACTTCTGTCCAATCCTCACCTCCACCTTGTTCATCAAATTCAGTTTTCTTTTGTTGTTATAAAATAAACCTTTTCTCATTGATAACAACAACTTTGTCGGTTCTTTGGTTGTCATTTACTTCTGCTGTTTCAAGAGATGAAAAGTGCTGTTAGCCTACATAAATTAACTAAATATAATTTAAATAAAACATCAGTTAGGCTAAGTTAAGACTACTGTAAGCTAAACTGCCTACTTGATACCACTTACGGCGTCAAGACCCTCTAGGGCAGGGGTGTCCAGACTTTATTTCTTGCGGGCCAAAATTGTCGTGTTGGAATTGCTCGGGCCACAGGTTTTGTTTTTTAAAATATAGTTGGAAAAAAAATAGTCAGGCTTTGTAGATCAGAATCAAAAGGCTCGCTGAAGAAACCCTTTAATAAAAGGAAATCAAATATTTTGATTTCTTCGTTCTACTTTACTTGTTTTTTTTCTCAGAATCAAACCTGTACTGTGTTTTTTTTTTTTTTAAAAGCTTTCTGCATTTAGCTCGGGTCATTAAATGGTTAAACAACAGTCCACTTGTTTGCAAAACTTTGCTTAAGTTTTCTTTTTCATAGTTTACAAATAGTAAAAGCTGTAGATTTAAACAACAACATACATGTTACTGAACATTTCTATTTTAGGAATATTGTTCATGAAAAATCAGATAATGTGCCAATCTTCATCGCGGCTTTGGGCCAAAATCTTCTGATTCTTCATGTGAAGTCACTGGCTGCAAAAAATCCCCTCAAGGGCCGCAGATGGCCCTCGAGCCGCACTTTGGACACCCCTGCTTTAGGGTGTCAGGGTAGAGCGTGTTGACAACAACTCAATCAGTGAATTAAATTACCTCTGAGGGTCACTAGGGCTTTAAATACACGTCAAACTAATATGCTAAGCTTCAGATTTAAGAGGCACCTATCATGAAACAGGTCATTCACTCGTAATCTGCCTTTTTATTTCATTAATTTATTGTGTGTACTCTGGTTCATGTCTGCCGCTCACTGTGCGTCATATTTCATCCCGGTGTCAGGAAAACGTCATGGATGAAGAACAAGGTGACTGTACCTGTAGGTGTCTGAAGGCAGCAGTCAGCTGGCTCATGTGCAGACTGAGGCACCTGGACGTGCATCTCGCGCTGTAGATTTTCTCCTGAACATCCTCGAGCTCCGGTGAACTCCTGCGGGCGCGAGACACCGCAAAAAAAACCACCGCGCACAGGAGCACGAGCAGCAAACCGGTCCGGCACACTGACATCACACCGGGGGGGGGGGGGATATTACAGGAAAATAAAACCTTGTAGGTAATGTTCCTCCTCGTCAACGTCCTGCTCTCGCGACCCTTTAAGTGCAGAATGAAAACACTGTGCGCGTGCATGGAGGGAAGCAGCTCAACGCTCCACGCGGACACTCCCACCACCGGTACACGTGCTGCCACGCGGAGTTATAGTAGTCTCTCAATATGTAGTATCCCTGTCCAACAGGTCACCCACCTCTTTTCTATACTTTGTAGCCTATAGGTTAATGCAGGGGTGTCCAAAGTGCGGCCCGAGGGCCATTTGCGGCCGTGACTTCAAATAAAGAATCAGAAGATTTTGGCCCGAGGCCTCGATTAAGATTGGCACATTATCTTATTTTTATTTTTCATGTTAACAAGGGCTGAACAATATTTCTAAAATAGAAAGTGTTCAGTAACATGCATGTTGTTGTTGTTTGTTTTTTTTAAAATCTACAGCTTTTACTATTTCCACATTTTTTTTGTAAACTATGGAAAAAAAAAACGTATGCAAAGTTTTTGCAAACAAGTGGACTGTTGTTTAACCGTTTAATGACCTGAGCTAAATGCAGAAAGCTTTTCCAAAAAATGAACCACGTTACAGGTTCTATTCTGAGAAAAAAATAAAAATAAAGTAGAACGAAGAAATCAAAATATTTGATCTCCTTTTATTAAAGGGTTTCTTTAGCGAGCCTTTTGATTCTGATCTACAAAGCCTTTACTATTTTTTCAACTATATTTTAAAAAACAAAAACCTGTGGCCTGCGAGCGATTCTAACACGACAATTTTGGCCCTTAAGAAAAAAAGTTTGGACACCCCTGGGTGGGTCTTCTAACTTCATATCAACTTCCACAACTGTCATCACCTGCATGTGCAGATGTCATCATCATCTTCTTGATATCCATCAGATTTCATCTTAACTTTGTTTGGGATCTTTGTTGGGGCAGAATTTGACTTTACAACACAATCCTTTTATGGTTAACATGGCAGCATATCGAAACATATAAGGCTTAATTGTATGTGTTAAATTTCTAACAACAGTAATAAAAATATAGCCTATCACTCTCATCGAAAAAAAAGATCGATGAGGTTTGGCTATAATATACAACATAATGCAGCATTATTTAATCATTAGGCTACTTATTTGACCCACTAGGTCCAAAAATGAGTCAACACATTTTCCAAAAGGAAACTTTCCCATAAGATGTCATTTTCAAAATCTGCCATGCATCTTATCACCAACTCCAATCATTTTCCTTCCTCTACATACATCATTTCCACATGCACACCTTTACTTTACACTATACCTTTGCACTTCATCATTATGCTGCATTGAATAGGCTATCTTCTTGTATCACCCAGGACTTTTTGTTTGTGTGTCATTGTTGTCATCTTTACTTTTACCTCAAATACTTGATCAGTTTCATCATCAACCTTCCTAAAAGAGCACATGTCACTCTGCTGTTCATCTCCTTACACTGGCTCCCAGTTACTGCTCGCATCAAATTTAAAACTCTGCTGCTCGCTTACAAAACAGTGACAAAAACGTCTCCTCCTTACTTTAACTCTCTGATCCAGGTCTACACTCCCTCCCCCCCACTACGCTCTGCCAATGAAAGGCGTCTGATCCAACCTTCACAACAGGGTCCTAAGACGCTGACTAGACTCTTCTCCTCTGTCGCCCCCCGGTGGTGGAATGAACTTCCAAACTCCATTGGATCTGCAGAGTCCCTCTGCACCTTTAAGAAAAAGCTAAAGACCCAGCTCTTTCATGAATACCTACTAACTTAATGATGATGGTCTCCATATTATTGATGATGATGATGGTAATGACAATGGTTTTTGTTTGATAACGACGACTTATAAGATGGTTTCTATACTGATTAGAGCTCTCAAGAACTGCCCTCAATGTTGTGCTTTGCCTCTGGTCACTTCCTGTCAGCACCTGTGTGTCCAATCAGACTCAAAGCTGATCGTTTGCTCTTACTGACATTGTTCCCTTTTTTCTAGATCCTTGCTTGTGTTGTTCTTACTCTCTGATGTACGTCGCTTTGGATAAAAGCGTCTGCTAAGTGAATTGTAGAATCATGGTCATTATCGTCACCATTAACCAAATCATCAAACTTCATGCCAGCATTTTTAAATCAAACACTACAATAGTCATTATTACCTTCTTTATGAATTCATATGATTGGCGCTTAGACAATAAGATGAACATCACATCTATTCTCTTGTCTTTGTTGGTGAACTCACATGAACTTTCAGGACTTTTATTATCTTAAATATTTTCTCTTTAGTCACCTACATCACCTTAAACTCACGTCTTCCTTCCTCATCACCATCCTCACATATAGCAACTTATAACTGAATTAGTTTGAAAAACAATGAGCATATTGTTCAAAATAAAGCTGCTGCTATAAATAGATAAAAACAAGCAGATAAACAGAGAGAATACATTTATAGCCTGATGTTTTGCATTGCAGGCTATTGTTCTAGGTCTATTAACACTTCCCTATTCACATTCTGTAAAACAAACCTCCCTTTATAATCCGGGAACACTCTCCGAGGGTATTTATGAAAGCAGACCAATAAACAAGCACTTATTAATGGGGAAAGAGACTTAAAGAATGTGTTGAGGTAGGTGTCTGTCACAGAGCCAGTCAGAGCATTAGTCACCACATTTCAGCTGGAGCTGCAGAGCCAAGTGGGGCTTATTAGATCCAGAGCCAAAGCAAGATGTTTCAGGACACATGGTTGAAAGCTCTATCTGTTTATATGAAACTTTATCGCAGTGGAGGAGACGTCTCTGCTGGCAACGAGAGGTAGAAAGAATCACCTAGGTTTTGATTTAGGGGAAATGAAGATGTATAAATATTTAGTGAGGACTGCGAGGACTGTTCTTGGCCCTGATGTGGAAAGTAGACTTTTAATTCTGTCTTTGTATAGTAAGGATTGCATACTGTATGTAGACATATAGTCAGGACCAAAAGTTAACACTCAAAGTTACCTATATGTTCCCATTACTCGTGCTTTCTTTTTTAAATGTCAGAAAAAAAAGGGACATTGCCTACACATATTTCAATCAGAATCAGAATCGGGGTTTATTGCCAAGTACATTTACACATACAAGGAATTTGACTTGGTGTATTGGTGCTAAACAATTAACAAGAAATGAAGCAGAACTAGCAACAACTTAAAAACAACGTTAAAGTCTGGCTTTGTGAATGTTAAGGGTGTTAACATTAAAAAATGTGCACATTCATTGTGTGTTATTGCCTTAGTGTGGACAGAGTTTTCAACAGATTAAAGAAATAAATGGTATCTGATTGCAAAGGCCTTCAAGGATGACAGCAGTCACATATCTTTGATACCATGTAGAGACTGATAAATCAGGCAGCGAATATTATCAGGCCGTCTTCATTGAATTAAATAAAATAAATAAACAGCTGATATATGAGTATCAGGATGTGTTTTTCACTACGCAGAGAGCTTTGATAAAAATGTTTTACAGTGCAGATAACACAGTGAACAATGTTTGGGGTGATGTAAAAAGGATTGTCATCACATAGTTTGTCCAGCAGAGGGCGCTCTGACTCTCAGCACTGTCTGCCACACATCTAGCAGAACACCACCACTGAGCAGAGCGTGGTCAGTGATAGAATTGATTGGTAATATATAACAATGTTGGATATTCATTAAAAAATATATATTGTGTACTGATGTATAATCTCATATGGTGCAAGATTTTTGAACAGCCTACAAAGAAGAGGACTGATTTTGTTCCTGTTAAAAAACATACTATATACACACCACCATATTGGTAATCGAAACATTTTTCAACCAAAATCAGAATTGATATTTGTCTTAAAAAACAACAACAACGTACTTCTATGCATGTAAAGTTAGGCGACTTCCTTCCAGTTTGGAGGTTTAAAGATAAATCAAAGCAACATAATAATGCTTCATTCTGAAAAACAGCTTGTAGCAATATTGCCTGGTTGCTATAGCAACAAAATATCTTTTATTGTTTTGGTCTTTTGGCCATTGTGTTTGTAACCTAACCTTACCTTACCTGACCTATAGCCTAAGCTACCCATTTTCATACTATGTTTGGAACAACAGAAATCTACTCTGTTCTAGTACAATACATTTAAAAAAAAAATGTGAATGAGTAATTCTCTATAGGTGTGTGTGTGTGTGTGTGTGTGTGTGTGTGTGTGTGTGTGTGTGTGTGTGTACCTGACCTCAGAGGACCTGTGACAGACCTTAATTCAAAGAGCATAAAATCAATTCTTAACTCACCATACCACACTCTCTCACACATATATATACACACACATACACACACAGTAGTTACCCATTATCTAAATGCCTGAAAGAATATCTTTACATGTTCATAAAACACCTGCTCAGGTTACTGAATAAACCATTAGTAGAGTTAAGACTCTTTACAACACATACTCAAACATCTCACAGTATCCACACGCTCACAAAAGCACAAACACATACACACACACTGACACACACATGTAACAGAAGCAGCCCCTGTCTGTCCAAATGTGCTCGTTGATTAAAGCCAAATGTCTTTGAACTGCATGAAAAAAAGGAGGGAGATGAAGACGATGGATAGAGAGACAGAAAGAAAGGAAGAAAGGCAAACAGAGGAGGACAAGTGTTAAGGTGAAAAGAGAACTGAAAAGGTAAAAAAACAAAATAATCTCGGTTTGTTTCTTTAGGAATCAGGCTGCGACTGGAAAGAATGAATTCTAGACGTTTCACATTAATCTGTTATCTGTGTTCTCTGTAAATTGTCCATAAAATTGGAGAAAACAAGGAAATATTAAGATTAGCCAAAAAGATGAAATCACTCCATCAATCCATTAGCTGTTTATAAATGTGATAATTGAAAGAAGAATTAAACATTTCAAACTAACTATAACTTATTCTGTTGAAAACAGATAAAAACCTGCAGATAAAAACTTTGAAGCTGAGACATCAAACCTCAAAGACATACCTGTCTTTCACCCACATGTGAAACATTTACTTTGGACTCTTGATCTAAGTTTTCATAAAAATCCTGTAAGCAAGATCTTAAATCTTATTATTATTGAGACTGACATGAAGACAGATTTCCATTAGTGTAAGAGGAGACTTAAAGTGTCTTTATCTTTGCTTATAATAAAGGCTTTATAAGGCTTTGTGTGCCCATCTGATGATGAAATCTGACTTCTAGACCTTCAACACAACTTACAACATAAATACTTTTTATAACAATTTCACTCGAGGCAAATGTTCAACATGTCACATATCTGATCCTAACCGTGTCATTTACTGAATCCTAATCCGTCTAACTGTCTCTGTCACCATCAGTCTGTGTTGTTATTGTTCCCGTCTGAGATCTTTGAGGTGGTATGAAATGATTCCCTGCAGCTGGTACTACTCACAGCTCATCTGTTGGTTGTCTGATTTCTTTCACCTTCAAGTCTTTAAAAAACTGTTTTCAAAGACAGAGGGTCATGAATGGAGCTACAGTGTCACTATGTGGCATACAGCAGTAATTACAGATTTAATATTGGTTGTGTAAAGGACAATGAATAAATAAATAAAATAAAATAAAATAAAATAAATACAATAAATTAAATACATTAAATACATAAAATAAATAAAATAAATAAAATACAATAAATACAATAAATACAATAAATTAAATACATAAAATAAATAAAATAAATAAAATAAATAAAATAAATAAAATAAATAAAATAAATAAAATAAATAAAATAAAATAAATCATTGGTTTTAAATCAGGATTCATCAATCTACATTTTTCAGTCAAGATGCTTTGACTTTTAGTATCAGCTGACCAAATTGATAGTGAATGTAGACTTATAAAGTTGCCGTATTCCATTGTTTGACACTGATATCATCATCAGCAATGATTAAGACTTTCTCAGTTAATTACTTGGTTGTTTGGGTCACAAGATAAAAAATAAAAAAATAATTTGAAAATCATCCTCCTCCCATTTCTTCTTTTCTCCATAATCCAAATATATCATTTTTGCTGTCATATAGAAACATAATCAAACCAGAAAGTATTTGCATGTAAGAAGCTTAGATATGATACTTTTGACTTTTTTGTATTAGATTATTTTCTTAAAGGCAGATATGTTTTCCCCGTGTGGTTATTTATACATGATGTAAGGCAATCGTTACATTCTTAATGAGGGAAGGGCAGTCATATTTAATAAGACAAAGTCAAATGGCTGATTATGTCACAGTCATAAGTTCCCTTTGATTAGTCTGTGTCCTCCTTTTAATGAATATATGGTTTACTGTCCTATTTTAACACTCCAGGAGAGAGCCCTATTATGTAGTAAGTCAACTGAGAGCTGCCTCAATAGACACACAGATTGATATGAGTTCAAATAATGTTAAAGCTTCATGTGAGAAACGCTAAGGTTTTATTGCTTTTGGCGCCCCCTGTTGACAAAAATGTACTCTTAGTGTTCTTTAGTGATCGATTTCAGAACATGAAATTTCTGAACACGCTTGCAAAAACTGTAAAATGCTGTTTTGCCAGCCTGCTTTAAAATCCCCTCAAGGGACACCTTATCCCACAGCAGAGGTGACAGGTTATGAAAATAAAAACATCTTCTTACTGAGGATCTCAGGGTTTTTATTTTGTCATATAAAGAGATTTATTTTTGTCTGTTTCATTATCAGGAAGAAAAACCATCCCCATATTTCTGAAGGTCACCCTGAGGGCTGAGTGAGGCCTCTGCTACTTTGTTGTTTTTCAGTACAATGTGGGAACATTTTCTCAAAGTGGAAACTTACTGGCATAACTTCTGTTAATTAAGCCTTCCAATGAAAAATGTAATCTTGGCGAGATGACTTTGTAGTTTAGGATAACGAGCAGAAACAGCAAGCTCTGTGTGTTCTCGCCCGTGTGTTTTTGTAAACCAAGGTCAAGACAATCCACATAGATGGAGACTGAGCTGGTCTCCTCCTCCACTAGGACGGACCTCCTTTTTTGCTTCTCCCTTCAGAAGACTCATTTTTAAATTCTGGATGTTTCTTCTCCTATAACAGGACAACGACAACACTTAAAAGTTTGTGCGTTTACTTATCACAGGAAGCGTGCACACATCCAATCCTGTAGGGGGCGATAACACAGCAAATAGCGCGTTAATAGTCGCAGTGGAAGGAGAAAACCCGGAAGTCAGGCGGATGTTTTGTTTTTGAAGCAGTCGGCATCAAAATGAGCTACAACGTTGGAAATTAGTCCCTAAAACATTGAGGTAAAGTAACGTTTTGAAGTAACTTTAGCTTAAGTTTTGTACCATGTTTTGTTGTCGTTTCACCTTGAAAATGAGATTAGTGGATGTTTCTAAAATATTTCACATATTTGTGTAATTACACCGTGAAAACTGTGTTTTTACGTGTTGGGGGTACAAACTAATTAGTGACACAGTAATTAACGCTACACTATCGCTTCTTACATCCGGGGCCTTCATTTAGAAAACAAACATTCCCTGTTAGTTAGAGGGAAAAGATTTTCTTTATATGTCAACAATTTCATGAGATGTGTGATGGAGGGAGTTTAGCAGGGAATACTTTAATAAAACATGTTTTTGTTTGTTCTGTAAGGGATTCTGTATCTTCACTGAACAACATACTGAAGATGTCAAAGAAGTCAAAGAAGAGAAAGTGCAAAAGGTTGTCTTCATCTTCAAGTGAAGAAGACGAGAAGGTGAGGAGTGTGTTTGGATACATGTTTATTAATCCTCTTTTTAATGTAGAGACTAATCAAAGTGCTGCATTTAATTCACAGGAAAAATGTCAGTATTGTCTTATAAATGTTTTTATTTGGAGTGTTTAATACACTAGTCTCTGACCAGGATTATAAAGGTGATTGCTATAACAGTAAATAGTAAAGCAAACTGCCTGCACACACATTTACATAATCTCAGACTTCCAACTAACTATGAATAAAATAAAATGAAATAAGATAATCCTTTATTTATCCCACAACGGGGAAATTTACATTGTTACAGCAGCAAAGATTGCAAACAGAAAGTGACACAGTACAGTTTAAATTAAAAAAAAATTAAGAATGTACAAAAAAATAGATAGATTTAAAAATAAAATAGAATAACCCAAGGATTATTTTTTGAATCAACCCACAACCATTTTCTTAGTAAAATCTCAGAAAATCTTAAATATGGCTCTAACAATTTCCCAAAGCCTAAAGTGACATTTTCAGATGGCTTTTTTTTTTTCAGGCAACTTTGCAAAACATATTCTGCAATATTTACCAAAACAAATAAATCAAAACTACTTATAAGTGTAAAAGGCAACCGTTACCATCCATACGTTACTCTGTAATTAATGGTTTTATCATCCACATACTACAAGATGTTCAACAAAGAGATTCATTTTTCCCATTTTCTTCTAGAAATCCAAAAAACGAGATGCTACCAGAGATTACTCAAGGGCCGAGAAGAAGCACCGTGTGAAGACTCAGGAAAGGTTAGATACAGTCTGATGTTTTTTTTAATTACATATACTGTATATATAGTTGATTTTATCATCATTTGGTTTAATTTTTTTTTAAATAATTTCTGACTGTTATTTTATGTCTGTACTTCAACATGTAGCAGTGCAGAAAAAAGGGAAAGAAGTGCCTCTGCTGCCGTTAAAGATGTCTCCCAAAGCACTCGTCTGATTAAAAAGCCTGTCTTCAGGCTGAGAGAAACTCATGCAACTGACAAGAAACCTGCTAATAAGGAAGAGGAGCACAGAAAAACTAAACGTGTCACTGTGTCTCCCCATAGGGAACATCGCTCTAGTAAAGCAAAACATGAGACTTCAGGGAAAGTTAAGACCGCCAGTGGGAGTAAGACTGTGGATAGGGGAACCGCAAAACCCTTGAACACCAACAAGGCAGACACTGCTCCTCAGAGAGCAGAGAAGACATCTGAAGGCAGCCCAGATGAAACGTCTTCCCAGAGGAGCAAAGACAAATTAAAAAAGGAGCTAACGAGTCCCAGTTCGGTGTCTGATGAGCACAAAAAACATGTCAAATATGCTCTGAAGAGGAAGCACACAGCTGAAGAACCACCACCGAGGACGGCGGATGACGGAAACAGTATCAAAGAGGGGGAACCGAACAAGTCCTCCCACACGTCCAGTGGTTGTGAAAATCAGAAGAAAATGGAGCTGTTTGAGGAGATGTGTCAGAGGCATAGTGAGAAGAAGTTAAAGGCCAAAACAAGCCTGTGTGCAGCAGCTAAACCTTCCTCTGCTTCTACCAAAGAGCCATCGTCCACCTCAGCCGATCACACTACCTCAGTTAGTAGCTCCAAAGTGGGGGGAAATGCCGCGTCAATCAAAGGGACTTTTACAACAGTGTCTTTTCAGAAAGTTGAGCCGTCATCTATTCAGCAACAAAAATCCACTCTTGCACTACTCAAGTTTAAGATTCCAAAAAAGGTTCAACCAAGGCCAGCACACAGCACTGTTGACAATAATGTAACTTCTCCTACCGACAAAAATATCAAAAATGTGTCTGAGCCTCTGAACTCTGAGGCCTCTGTGAGCAAACCAGAGCAGGAAACTACTGTGCGAGAAACAGCTCCCAGCCGTGTGACCGTTACACCGAGTGTCTCATCTGAAGGACAAGATAAGAGGCCTTCATCGTCAGGCCAACCTCCGGCTACGTTTGATACCGTCACTGAGCCGTGGTGTAATCAGGTGATCAAAATCTTCCTCACAAACAAGTCTGTGTATTTGTTATTTTCCCCAGTTTTCTCATGCAGAAATTTCTGTTGGCTAACTGATGACATAAACAGCAGTCATGTGTTGATGCAGATGATTAAAAATGTGTTGGTTTTCCATGTTGGAGCAGGTGGCTGAGGAGCTTCACCTTGCTCGCTCTGAGAAGAGATTGGAGGTGAATGTGATGCAGAGCTATGGGGAGCTCACCTGTATGGAAATAGACCCTCCAGAAGAAGTTGCAGAATCTCACTGTAAGTTTTCAAATTCTGTAGACTCTTAGTAGTAAGTAGTAATCATTTATTTCGGTCGCAAGAAAAAACAAAAACATTTCGGCCGAAAAGGTGTAGGCTGAAGCTTTAGCTTATTACACCTACCCTTGTTACAAATCTTATTATTTAATCATTTAAGACACTACTAGTTTGGTTCCAAAAAACAAAACATATCAGAACAAAATTTGTTCCAATAATTTATTTCAAAACAAAACAACTGAAACAAACAAACTCTTCATATACATAATACATTAAAAAAAGGCAATACCTGCACATTAATCATAATGTTCCACAGGCTTCTCCTTGATTCAGTAAACGTTTGGTTTTTATATAGTATCTGTATCTCACATGAAAGTAGATTATTGCAGTTGTTTGCTTTATCGTCTTCTTGTTACAGCTACTAAATTATTTCACTCCTACATTTTTGTTCTGAGAGTCTAATAAATATTTTCCCCATATCAATCAATCAAACTTTATTTATATAGCACCTTTCAGACAAATTAAATTGCAGTTCAAAGTGCTTTACAATGTGCAGTTTATAAAATCATTGAGAGACTAATGCACACCAATAAGAATTTAAAAAAAAATACATATATAAAAATGAAAATAAAATACGAAACATAAAAGCAATAAGATATTAAAATTAATACATAGGAGAAGAATATTTAAAATTGTCGTAGGATAAAAAAGACAATACAATAATGTTAAGATTTGAATTTATATTAAGCACTATATAAAAGGCAGACTGAATAAATGAGTTTTAAGACTGCCTTTAAAAATCTCAATATTCTAAGCTCTCATATAATGACTACGACTGAAATGCTCAACTTAAACATTTCTCACTGTTTTTCTGAGATCAGGTAATCTAATATAGATCAGGATTTTCCCCTATTCTAGAAAGTGTGATCATGTTAAAGTTAAAGAGCAATCCCCCCCACAGAGGATTATAGAGACATTAAAACAAACTTTTAATCACTTAACAACGTCATCAGTTTGATAAAATGAATTAAAGCCGTGCACAGTTTAATTCATTATATTCAGGCATTACTCATAATTCATGAACTTTCCTTTTTCCAGGTAAACAACCCCTGCAGCAGGACCTGTTCCTTGTTTTGGACACCAACATTCTCATCAGTCACTTGGACTATGTGAAAAAGATCAGATCTCACGGCCTTGAAGGTATGTTTAATGATTTAAATGATTGATGTTCCTTTTAGGATGACTTCTGGCTATTGCACGTGTAACTTGATGAAGACTTTTGTCTTCGTAGGAGGTTCTGAGTTTGTTGGAGCTAATTTTCTTTGTGTCATTTTTGCTCTCAAGCCTAGCCTACATTTTATTAGAAATATTCAAGAGCTTTGTTGAGAACAGGAAGAACTCTAATCCTTTGCTATAAAGAATGCTTTGAGTCCTTAACACACTTGATGAGCAGGGTTTTATCAAGTTAATAAAAAGGCAGAAAAAAGACAATGTAAACATGCATATGCGCTTAAAGACATCATTTTATTTTAAATAAAACGAGTTGTAAATGACATTATAATCAGGGAATTTTATTTGAAAAATATTTCTGAAGCAAGTTTCCACATTTAGTGCATTTTTCTCCATCATAAAATGAACGTCTGTTATGAAACACACATTCCTCCCTTCTGTTCTCTAAGCCCTCGGCTTTCCTGTAGTCCTGATCCCCTGGGTGGTGCTTCAGGAGCTGGATTCCCTAAAAAGGGGGAACGGTCTGTCAGGTTCTGTGGCTCATCGGGCCACCCCCGCCATCTCGTACATTTGCAACTCTTTGAAGAGCCGTGAACCCGGACTCTGGGGACAGTCTATGCAGCAGGCCGCTGCGAGCAGCAGTGAGTGCTGATTCAGAAAAACATGTGATGTTTTGTTGTTTTTGCATTGAATGAATGAACTAAACCTAAAGGTACTCTTAGGGGTTTGGGGTGTTTGATTTCTCTATAACATTTTCATGAGGCCTGATCAGATTTGAAAAGGTGACTGTTGTTCTCAGTCTCTTTGGTTACAAAAGAGCAGCATTCACATCACAAAAAAACACTTAAAAAAAGCTTTCTGCATTTTATCAGTAGAATAAGAAAGAAAAAAAGAAAGAAAATTAATTTCTAACATTTTATTAGATATTTATTATTATTAGAAATTGTAGAAATTAAAAATTATGTATTTTTTGGTAATTATCTCTTACATTCATATTTGAATTTGTCTAATCATTACATAAAATGTCCTTCAAGTAAATAAAAGTCTTTTTTTTCCCAGATGAATTCAAACACTAGTGCTGATAAGAGCGTGGCACCGGTTCACAGGTTTCCCAAGGACACTCACATGTGTTCGCAGTGACAAACGAGGACATAAACACTAGGTGGCACTGACACAAAGTCGGACCTCAACATTTCATCATCGTAGCTTGATGTGTTTGCACTTCAAGGGCAGCATAAGGTTACACACTTCTAAGTGGTGTATAATATTGATCACACATTCTGTTTTCCCTTCTGGTGTTTTTACTTAAAAGAGATGGGCGATAAAGGAGATTAACAGAGAAGTTTGTTTTCATTATTAACAATTCATGAGCATACTTTAGTTTAACATTTTTTGAAAGAGACCTTCTATCTTTTTGTTTTCATATAACTTTTTTCCTTCTGTGTTTAAAACAAAAGACAGATAGTCCAGCATGTGAAGTTTCTTACTTTGAGCTCTTGGTGTCAAGAATGAAACATGTCAATTTTTTGTCCCTATGTGGACTCTCATGTTTCTCTTCCTCTTTGCACCTACTTGTCCCCAGATGATCTGAATGCCGAGAATAATGACGACAGAGTGCTGCAGTGCTGCCTGCAATACCAGACTCTGTACCCAGAGTGTGCTCTCATCTTATGCACGTGAGTCCTCCTACCCCCCCTCCTTCATGTCCCACTCACTCTATTCAGCTGCTGCTGCTGCTGCTGCAGAGTGTTGTGTCCTCTAAAATGCACATGCATGTGACTGGGAGTGGGTCCAGCCAGATAGTTCCAGTGGGGATGAGAGAAAGAGAGGGCCAGACAGAGAAACTGTACAAGAATAGAAATGCTGAGTCGGGAATTTTTTTAGTTAACTTGGCTTACATTGTGCATTTTATTGTTTCACATTATTTTTTTTCCTTTGACCTATTTGTTTTAGCCCAGATGTTTTTTATCATTAAGTAAAAGGACAAATCACTTAATTAGACAATGCATTAGTGTTGTTTAGGGACATGGTAAGGTAATTCTGGATTCAGATAACCTTCATGTGTTTTAATTGTTTTGTTATATCTTGTGTCTTCTCCAGTAATGATAAGAACCTGTGCAGTAAAGCCATCCTGAGTGGGGTTAAGGCCCTCAGCAAGACTGATTTGGAGCAAGAGGTTGTAAGAACCAGACATGGCTTTAATCCTCTGCAAAACATTAAGACCTCCTCGTTGCCTCGGATCAGCCCTCAGGTCTCATCAACGATTCTGAACAGGAGCTTTACAGTCCAGCCTCCCGGGCGAGAGAGAGCAGAGCTTTCTGTAGAGCTCGTAGAAAAAGGTGAGCCGAGGATACTTGTGTTCTGCTTGAACAACAGGAAATTACTTGGCATATTCCGCGATAGTCTAATAATTAACAGCACATACTGTCCATGCACACTGCCCACCCCTTCCAATTTTCCTGTTTTTCTTTCCTCTACTTTAAGTCCAATGTGTGGCGTTCAAAGTTTCAACACACGAGGCACAAACATCTTGTGGGAAGAACAGAATGTGTAATTTTGGTAATAATTTCACAACATTTAATGTCTGTACCTGGTCACAGATTACAAAGAAGAGCAGGATAAAGAGCGGGCAGAATGGGGCCCGACATGTGTGTCCGCATTGGAGGACTGCCTGCGTGCAGTGCTGTCTGAAGTCTTAGAGGTGGAGATGAAGGCCGCTTTCGATGACATCTGGCTAGAGGTAAATGTAACACTCAGGATACAAAATTTAGTTTGAATAAAATATGTATTTAGAAATAATAAATTATCAAGATGTAACAAATTAATGTGTACAGGGCTAATGCAAGTTTAGACTCTTGGAGCTGGTGGAGAATTAATTAAAACACACGACACAGAATGTTGGTAACCGGTTTTGTATTTTACAGATTTACATTTTTTAACAAATAACCAAAAACTGAAATTAAATGAAATTAAACATTTAAAAAAAAAAAAAAAATATATATATATATATATATATATATATATATATATATATATATACACATATTAAATTTAATTAAAAAAAATAATCAAGGAAAACCCCACAATTAAATAACTGTGGTATTTGAAATTCATTTAATCACTCAGAATTTATTTTGATTAGGGTTTAAAATGCATTAAAAAAATATCAAACAGATGCACTGTATATATGAAATGATTGGAGACGGGGTATTTGGTTTTTAACTTTTTCATGAGTTCATAAGCAGATGCGTGTCCAGAGTGGTTGCCAGGGGTGGCGTGGGCTCCCCCCTTGAAATCTTATAGGCCACCCCAAAATCCTTAACTGTTATTGGCTATTTGCCTTGCCAGGGTATCTTGTTGAAATCAACTATTCAGGCTGTGTTGCAACAGGCAGCTCATAGTTTTCAGTGTGCAGATGTGTGTTTGCAATTTTTTTTAATACTTTAAATTGTGACTTTAGACGCGCATATTGTTTTGAGTCCATGAGAATTAAGCAAAGAAGATATTCATGTTGCCATTATCCTGTGTTACTTAAAAGTCGATTTGATTAGTGCAGACAGAAGGGGTCAATAATTGCTCTTCATTCACGTGTGTGGACACAAACTTCAGGCCACCCCTGCACAAGTCAGAGCCACCCCAGTCTACAAAGTCTGGATACGCCCCTGGTCTTAGGGTATCTTGTTTATAATCTTAGATGAGTCTGTTTGCATGTTCCAAATGAGTTTGGAGAGATTGTCATACATTAAAAAAAAGTAATTTCTGAGAGTAATTTAGAGTTTTGTCTGTTAACAGATAGTTTATGTGAAACCACCGTGGACTCTTCAAGATGTCCTGCTGTGCTTGAAGAAGCACTGGATCGCCGTCTTTGGACAAATAGTCTCGAGGAGGTTGCTGCAAACTGTTCAAAATCTCATCAACTTCTTCAAATCAGGTAACTAGGAATGTAACTAGTTTTAAAAACGTCTTCTTATCAGCAAACATATTTGATGTTCATTTTCTCAACAAATTAGAATATATGGTGTTTAATAATATTTTTACCTCATTCATCATTTCTTGTACAAGTTTGGGGGACTGGTGAGAAATCTTGGGATCAACTATGGCTCCTGTAATCCTCGAGGTTACCCGAGCACATAACTATACAAACGACTCATGTCTAAATGTTTAATAACAGAAATAAAATCATAACAGGGGGATGTTTTAAATGGAGGGTGCTGTAAACAATTCTGTCTGTCTTGGCACTTGTGAGCTGTCTAATCACTGGATGAGAAAAGTAGACAAAACAAAGTGTAAACTACCCTAAAAAAGGCGTGAGTCACATTACTGCATACAGTGTGTGCAGAACATCAACTCCAAGTTCTCAATGTGTACTCCTCTGAAATTGTTTATTTATCATTTTCCTGTGGCTGTGATTCTGCTGAAGACATGATAACATAAGAGATTTGATGCCACTTTCTTGGGAACTGATTTTAATCTCCTTTTAAAAGTGAACAACACATTTACAAACAAACAAACAAACCTGATATACGATATGACATAAACGGTCATAACTTTTCTGTTTTGTGGAGCTTTATATATGCAGAGATATTCTGTGTTACACTGAAACAGATTTGAGACTGTACGCTGTGCTTCTCCTCTTCCTCTTCTGTGCTGTTGAGGTATTGAGTCATCCCTCAGATGAAAGTCTTCCTCCTCTAGAGCAGCGGTACCCAAAAGTGGGGGGTAGGGACCCCCACCAGGGGCTGAGGGGCCTTGCATATGGACCTTCTAAAAACATAAACCAAAATTTCAAATGATTTTAAATGGCATATTTTACCCGTTATCGTGAAAATACAAATACAAAAAGCAGGTAAAAAGACCATACTCAGAGAGAGGGAGAGAAAGAGGGAGAGAGAGAGAGAGCATATATTTTTACCCATTTTTTAAATATACAAAAAGTAGTCCAATGTCATATAAGACATTAAGTGAAATTAATGTGTACATTTCTTAATGTTTTCAGACAGTTGTATTATTTTGTGTTTTATGTTCCACGACCTGAAAAGTTTGTGAACCTCTGCTCTAGAGTATGTCTTTGCACTGTGCTAGAACCCCACAGAACCAGATTCAGAACCAGGTCAACTGCTGAAAGAGGATTTTTCAAATGTGTGTCAGAAAGATGCTGAGTCACCTGCTGCAGCTCTTCTTCCTCTGGATCTAATTCCACTATGCTTACAATGCTGAGTGTGTGTGTGAGTGTACACCTGTGTGTGTGTGTGTGTGTGAGTGATACAACAGTGTCGCAATACTTTTAGAAATCCCCCCCAAGAATGTTAATAGTTTTAACAACCACATGTTTTGCCGTTGCTCTGTGTGTATCCTTAGGACACCTCATAGGATTCTGAATTTATTGGTACCACGCAGCCTGGCTGTGTGCCAAACCTGTGTGAGTCGGGGGAGGAGGAGGAGGAGGAGGAGGAGGAAGAGGAAAGGAAGGAGGGATAAAAACAAAAACAAATCTAGGAGTGGAAAAGTACTGCAAGTGATTTCCAGCTCTCACTTTAGGCAGGACGTGGGCGTGGGGAACCAGCTGTACTTGTGAGGACACAACTCTTAGCAGCCTGCTACAACAGTGACAAAAACAGGATTAATGCAATTTCATTTTCAAGAGTTCAGAATAGCTTTATGAATTATGCATACAGTAGAAGGTCTAAGCACTTGAATTCAAGTTTTTTTGAAAACATGGTTGTTTTTGTAAAGGTTTTTTTCAAGTCTCAAAATAGAGGTAGACTGAACACAAGCTCAGTCTGAGCTGCCACAGTTTCTCTTTACCTGGCTGTGTTGTTTTCCATCTCTGTGTTCATAACAGTCCTCCTCAGAGGTTACTCACAAAACATTCTCTCAGGAAAATGTAGCACCTTATGCATTCATGCAAAGGTGTACCAAACGAAGACTAACGTACGGTATGTGTTGTTTTGTCATTTTTGGTTTTGTATCCCTCATGCTTTGACTTCTAGGTATAACAGTCAACTGCACTGCTACAAAGGCAGCGCTTCAAGAAGCTAAGGAGCTCGTGAAAGCCTTTGGGAAAAGTTCAAACCGTGTTCCCGGTGCTATCTCTGAACTCGACAACCTTTTCAATAAGCTGCAACCACAGATCAGCGAGAAGCAGATTTATAGTGTAAGTTTAACTGCTATGTTAAAACCATATCCAGGGCTCAAAACAACTAAGAATATACATTTTCTGAATTGTATGATGGCTAAATATGTGTGTGTGTGTGTGTGTGTGTGTGTGTGCATGAATGTGTAGGGGGAATCTCCTGCTGAAGATGTTGTCATGAATGACGACGATGAAGAAAAACAACCCACGCCTGCTCAGGTCTCTCACCAGGAAGTGTGGGCCCTGTTTGAGAGCATCTGGGACAAAGTGTTTCAAACAAGGTGGGTGTAAAGGGATTCGGTTAAATGCAGTGCTGCGGTGATCATCATGCTGCAGAGAACAGTTAGCGATGATGTGTTTTTAACATTTTTCGACTGTGGGGTTCTTTCGTTGAGATTTAAGCTGTTCCACTGACACAATTCATCCGAGTCTAATCCACATTAGCTCTAGAGCCAGGCAATGCTAAGCTATCATTGTGCACATATAAAGAGTCCAGAAGTGGTCTAGAAGAGTCGATCAGCAACATGAAACTACAAAGAGAGCTTTGTAAAATGTAAATTAAACAGGTTGTGAGGATTTGCAAAAACACTGAATCTGCATATTTAATTGAAAATGTCACACAGACAACATATCAAATGTTAAAACTGAGGTAATTGTTTTTTACCTCAGTTTTATAAATACAACAAAAGACTTCACAAGAACCCAAACTAGTTTTTTTTGTTCTCCTGTATTCTATCTAGTTATTGTACAGAGAAGGAAAAAACAAGTCTAGTAAAATACTATGTATATCGAGCGACACAGCTCCCAGTATATTTCCATTTTCGTAAAAAAAAAAAAAAATCTTGAAACTTCTTTTTTCTTCAAATTCTCTACCTAGAAATTTTGCAATTTATTGTTAAAAACATTATTCTCAGAGTGTTGCACTATTTTCCAGCACAGTCTTACAGAGTGGTGGACCCCTCCCCAATATAACTTCAGACAGACTCATCCTGGAATGTTTTTTTATTATACTCAGTCATGTTATAAGTTAACCTTTTGATCTGTATGATGCCTATATTACATAAGCCTACGTTTGTTCATTTATATCTATTAATAAATAAGGATTTAAACCTCTAGACACGGGGTGATTGAAAGTTTCTAAACACTAGCTTCGATGATATCAGAAAATGTTTGAATGCTGTATTCTAACTTGGGAGAGCCAATGTTACTGCAGAGCGCTTACTGTTTAATCAACCTAATTAAAGTCTTACTTGTCGAGGTTTGTGAGGCACAACTGACCAAATAACAGCAACGCACTTTATATCTAACGTGTATAAATGTCAACAGGAGACATCTCAGTAGCTAGAAGAAAACATTTCAACAGTTTGATCACACATTGACCTTTTTTACTTAAATTAGCAAACATGTAAAAAGGCCAGTTTTTTCCTAAATATGCCTCGAAGTAAAACCCTTCTGGACTTTGTCATTACAGTCAACAATTGTGGTTGACTTCTAGCCACAATGAAACATCCTGTTCAGTGAATAAGGAATCCTGTTGCAAGGACTTTTCTACCCTCAGGCATCAGTTTAATTTACTACCCTCTTAAGTCACTAAGGACAAAAATGTCCACTTCCAAAAAACTGCTATAAAATAGAACAGATTTTTTCTACTTTTTTCTGCATAAATCTCTTAAACAACTTCAGCCCTGCTCAAAACTACCAAACATTCAATCATTTTTAGGAAGTTAACCCTTTAAATGCCAGTTTGATTACTTGATGTCACTGTTGTTATTTAAGAAAAAAACACAAAAATGAGTTATTTTCCATTAAACAAATATTTGGTGGCTGGGGGATTTTTTTTAAATCAGTCTTGGATATGTCAAAGATTATCCAAAATATTGACTTTGATGCATTGTTAGTTTTTGTGTAGCATCAGATTTAAAATGTAGTTCCCTGTTTGGACATTGGAGGGTGAAAATGTCCAATTTACAAAAACTGCAGATTCATATTTTTTTCTACTTTCTTCTGCATACATCTCTTAAACAACTCCAGCCCTGCTCAAAACGTTTAAATATATCGTTTTATATACGCTCAAATATTTTGGAGTTATTTAAGAGATATATGCAAAAAGTAGAAAAAAATATCAATCTGTTCTATTTTTATAGCAGTTTTTTGGAAGTGGATATTTTAGTCCTTAGTGACTTAAGAGGGTAGTAAACATGTTTCCCAGTGTTCTATTGATCTGTTAAAAAAAATACAATTTGCATTCCAAAATGTGTCTTTCTTATAAAAAATGGTGCCATATGCACTAACAGACAAAATGATGACCAGATGAAGAGGAAACATTTGACCAAATGGACAAAAATGTCCATAATGATGCATGAGGGTTAAGACGCCTTATTCTTATAGACAGAGGGGAGGACATTAGGGTTAGAATTTGTGGAAACAAAAACAACACTTCAGATGCTGTTTATTGTAGTAACTATGTTGTTGTTTTTTTCTCCATTATACTGACCCCTGAGGTCGTTATTTTCTGTCATGTTTCAGCTTGGAAGTGTTCAAAGCTCTGGGCTTTGACCCTCAAACTATGCAGCGAGCTCAGCAAGCGGGAGGTCCTCCACCGCCACAGGACGCACTGGTCTGTTTACACAAACTGTCCTCTGTGGTCTCGCAGCTGCTCCAAGGCTTCAGCAGGTATCCCAGCCCACTCACATCACAGCCTGTCAGTCTAAACATCCCACCAGACATCCTGCCTCTCTACCTTTTCATTTATTTCCCCTCTGTATAATACATCTTTTTATGTACAAGCCCTTTTCAAAAACTCACAGACACTGTACAATAGTTAAAAAACAGCACAGTGAGGAGAGACTAACACACATTGCAGCATTACACACAAATCAAAAGCTTGTTTAAAGAGGTGAGTTTTGATCAGTGATTTGAAAGTAGGAGGGTCTGAGTTTGAATGTGTGTAGGGAGTGAGTTCCAGAGGGAGGGGGCAGCTATGAGGATATATATATATAAATATATATAGGATGTATAAGGATTAGTATGATTACTTGTTGTTCTCATTGTTGACTTCATTATTTGAGAAAGTTAGTTAAACTGCTCTGGGCAGGCGGCCCCGGGTTTGAATCTGACCTGTGGCTCCTTTCAAACATGTCTTCCCACTATCTCTCTCTCTCCCCCATCTCTGACTCTATCCACTGTCCTAGCTCTCAAAAAAAACAAAAAAAAACTCACTGCACCCTAATTCCTGGAAAAGTTAACAATCACAGATAAAGAACCAGATTTCCCCGGAGCAACTGGTGATGACCCAAAACATTTTATTTGTCTTGAGGTTGCAGGACACATGACCCTTCTTAAGCTGTCCTTTTTTTTTCATGACCAGCCTACTTCCTGTTAAGTATTACATCCTTAAAACGAAGAAAGCAAACATCATGCACAATGAATTTTTGTTTCAGTTATTTTTGTTTGTTTATAAAAGAAAAACAAGGAAAAAATAATCTGTTAATTGCTCTCGAGAAAAGTGATGACATTTTGAGAGTTCTTTGCTGCTTTTTCCTTCTCCCTCTTTTTTCTGGATCTGTGAGTGTGTGTGTGCTCTTATGGCTCTCAGGACCTACTTGGCATGCAGTATTGGCCAGGCTGTAATCTGCTCGACCTTGTAGCTTTTGCCTTATCACCTTTCCCATGATGCAACAGACAGCGCCACACGGTAGCAGCATTTGGTTTCTCAATGTGTCGTCGAGGAGAGCAATGCTTGAGATGCACTAATTGTAGTTTATTCGGCTGATTCAGATTATTGCCAGTCTGATTTTCTTTCTTTAAAGAAAATATTTTTTGCCATTTTTTTTTTATGCAAATTCAGTTTTATGTTCATAATAACTCCCTGAATAAATCCCCAAAACTTCCCCAGGTTAAACAAACACCTCTCATGTAAAGTAAAAACCAAAAGATGTATTCAATTATCTTTTCAAGTAATACATGAATGGCATTTTCTCACATTCTGAAACATCCATTATTAAGACTCTCTTTATGTAAAAGAGGTGGAGTCTATGGGGGCTTTGTGCTCTTCCTCTGTGGGCTTTAATGAAAACACACCTTGGTTCTCACGATGAAGTTATGTTGTTGATGATTCTTGTTGCTGTCCTATCAGGAGCAAGATGACATCCCAGCTCACAGAAAGATACAATGTGGAACTGTTTTGAATGCTTTTGAGTTAATAACGTGTGAACTGATTGTATGAGACTCATTTCTATAAAAATGAAGTCAAAAGATTGGGAATATAGAAGCATGCTCCATCCTGTCCAGTACATTCAGTGTGCAACACTAGAAAACCTCAACAATGAAGGGCTACTCACAAAATACAGAGCGTTTTATCGAGTAAAGCTTGTGTAGCCAATGTGACTGAACACGAGGGAAAACGAGGTTCATCATCTGCACTGCCTGTGATTATAAGGGGCCTTTCATTTGGTCTTTGTAGCTATCTGTAACTTGGTGTCCTATACTGATACATTTCCAGTTAGATAATGTAGCAGGTAGTTACGACTGAGGATTAGGGCCATGTTAATTTTTTATTTTTTTTAAATTTCGAGATTAAACTCGTAAATTTACGAATTTAATCTCGTAAATTTACAATTTAATTTTCATAAATTTACAACTTTATTCTCGTCAATTTACAAATTTAATCTCGTAAATTTATGACTTTATTCTCGGAAATTTACGAGTTTAATCTCAAAATTTAAAAAAAAATAAAAAATTTGAGACCAGCCTGCACGAAAATGATGAAAGTAGAAGTCTTAAAGTCTTTAAAGAATAAAAGAATAAAGTTATTATTTTAGTCTATATCAGAAGAGCAGCAGCATCCTGTTCTCAAATGACAAACATGGAGCATCTTGTCCTAAAGGTTTCACTAATAAGGAAATACTTCCTTGTGTAGTCGGTAAAAACAGTTCAAGAGAAGTTTTCACTTCAACTTGTAAGACTTTGTAAGTTGAACGTAAATTTACGACTTTATTCTCATAAATTTACAGTTTAATCTCGTAAATGTACAACTTTATTCTTGTAAATTTACGAGTTTAATCTCAAAATTTTAAAAATATATATTTTTTTAACATGGCCCTCATCCTCCGTCGTATTTAGTTGACAAGGTCAGTAAATGTATCCTAACTTTTGAAGATTTGGCTCATAAAGTCGTTTGTTTGCCTTTAACTCTGGCTCTCTAAAGCTGATGTAGAAGCTAAGCTAAATGACAGCTAACTGGCTAACTGTAATAATGCTTGCAAAATGAAAGGTGTAAAGCTAACAAAGAACAGCAACAGGATGCTGACTGTACTTAAAGGTCACCTGTGTCATCAACAATCTTCTGAGAACTCCACATATTACATTCAATATACTGCAAATCCTGTAAGCTAGACTTTATTTATTTTGTTTTACACTATTTTTGTCTTATTTCATATTTTTCTCTCCTTTACTCGCACATACACACACACATACTATTCCATCCAGACATCACACAAACTTAAAGTCGCGTCAGAGTCAGTCCATTATTGATTTCCAGGATTGGATTCTCGGTGACATTTGTGTCCCTTTGACGGCAGGAAACAATAAACCGACATCTAAAGGGCAAGGTTTTATCAGGGAGTCGCTCTGAACTCATTTTCTCACCGTGTGCAAAAACTAGTACAGAGGACTTTTTTAGCTGACTCTGACACGCTCCGGTAAATAACCTTTGGGTTGTGCATAGTTGAGTTAAAAAAAAATCAATCAGTCAGTTTGTTTGTTTTATTAAATAAGTTCTGAGATGTCAGCATGTCACTCATTTCTGCCGTTTTTCCCTTGTTCTGGATTTTTCTGTTGGTAATGAAAGATCTCAAGTCAAAGTCTTTTGTCTTTGTGTATTTTATTGCATATAGTAAAGAGTTCTTTTGCAAAAGGGGTAATCAGATGCAAAAGTAACATCAGTCACAAGTGCATCAAAGATTCCCGGGGCAGTCCCGGTTGCAGAGCGTATTTATACTTTCACAGGCTGTAGGTATATTACATATACAGGAGTGATACATCGTCATTGGTTTCAGCTTGCCCTAGTGACTACGCCTTCTGCTAGTTTGCCTGGTGATTTATCTAACATCAACAGAAACTCCTTTGTCAGGAGGGCACACTGATTTAGGATCATGCTGTACCCAGATATTGAGGAGCGTACCTGTTGGAGATACAGACCAAGGCCATACAGAGAAACAGTTTCTAATTGCTAAATGACGCAAGATCATCCTAATCTTTTAAGTTCAAACGAAGACGACAGACAGATAGTGTTTTTCCACTACACCCTGAACAATCTGCACTTTTATTGGTGATTCTTTTTATCTTACCATCTCTTCATGTTATGGGTTTTTGTGCCTTTAATGGAGAGATAGGACAGCAGAGAGAGTGTGGGATGACATGCAGGAAAGGAGCCACAGGCCGGATTCAAACCGCAGCCTCCACACATGGGGCGTGTGCACTAACCACTGCTCCACCAGCGCCTCAGGAGAACAATAATGTTTTAACCACAAGATCATGTTGCCTTTACTTACTTATCTCTATAATAATGTGAGACAAAGACGATCTTCTATCGTGCATCACTTTCTCACCTCAGAGGCCTTAAAACAGACAAACAGTGATTGTAGCGCTCTAAACTCTTTACTGTGTCTGAGGTGCTTTTATGACCACTTCAATACTCTGCGCCTTTACGGCTCCCTCGTTTATTGTGTTACCACATCGTATATGACTTCAGTAGTTTGACTTCCTGTTGTCATATCTGGAAGGTTTGAGTGCTGATTTGAAGTTGTGTGCTTCCTGTGTGTGTCTAATAGATCGTTACTGATGGTACAGATGGAGCTGCTTTTGTAAATTCTTGTGTGACGTTAATCAGTCTAAAGAGGAGCACTGTCCGCAAAACATTAGGTTTAATGGTGATACTATTTATTTTTGTTCATTTGGAGCTTTAATTGTGCAGACTTTTTTGTTATTACGGAAATCCTAAACGCAGGCATTTGACAAAACTGCATCGTCTTTTTAAACCAGATTTTGTTAGATTTGCATTTCCTCTAAGTTTGTCGCAGTGATTTTGCTTGAATCTTTTGGTCTGTTGTTCTTTTCTTTTCTTTTTTTTTTTTAAGTATCTGAAAGTCGTACATGTGCATAGGAATACACATCTGTTTTGGTGTGAAGCTAATTGAGCTAAATTGTGTACAAACATCTGCTTGGAAAATTGAAATTGCCTCCAGCCAGACATAAAAAATGTTGAGCTGCATGCAGATGAAATGAAAACATGTTTAACACCTCAAGGCATAAATAATAGTTAAACATTTTTTTAATTTAAACACAAAGCTTTCAGCATCTGCACCAAATATACTCAAAGATACTCTTCCATACCTCGGTGTTTTAGGCTATATTTATCTCTGACTGCAGGAATCTTAGTGTGTGTGTGTGTGTGTGTGTGTGTGTGTGTGTGTGTGTGTGTGTGTGTGTGTGTGTGTGTGTGTGTGTGTGTGTGTGTGTGTGTGTGTGTGTGTGTGTGTGTGTGTGTGTGTGTGTGTCTGGCTCCTGAAGCGCGGTTGCCAAGGAGACAGCCTGTCTCATTTCCACGTGTTAGAGCCTAGCTATGACTCATTCTACACACACACTTCTCTCTCTCTCTCCCTCCTCTCTCTCTCTCTCTCTCTCTCTCTCTCCCTCCCTCCTCCCTCTCCCTCGCTCCTCTCTCTCCCTCCCTCCTCTCTCCCTCTCTCTCTCTCTCTCTCCTCCCTCCTCCCTCTCCCTCGCTCCTCTCTCTCCCTCCCTCCTCTCTCTTTCTCTCTCTCTCTCTCTCTCTCCTCTCTCTCTCTCCCTCCTCTCTCTCTCTCTCTCCCTCCCTCCTCCCTCTCCCTCGCTCCTCTCTCTCTCCCTCCCTCCTCTCTCTTTCTCTCTCTCTCTCTCTCTCTCCCTCTCTCTCTCTCCCTCCTCTCTCTCTCTCTCTCTCCCTCCCTCCTCTCTCTCCCTCCCTCCTCTCCCTCTCTCTCTCCCTCTCTCTCTCCCTCCTCTCTCTCTCTCGCTCCCTCCCTCCTCTCTCTCCCTCCCTCCTCTCTCTCTCTCTCTCTCCCTCCCTCCTCTCTCTCTCCCTCCCTCCCTCCTCTTTCTCTCTCTCTCTCTCCCTCTCTCTCTCTCCTCCTCTCTCTCTCTCGCTCCCTCCCTCATCTCTCTCTCTCTCTCTCCCTCTTATATGTTAGGCCTCTCCTCAAATTACAGATTACATCCCTAATTTTTTACTCTTTTTACTTTTTTTTTTTTTACCATTCTCCCTTTTTAGACTGTTACTGATGTTTTTTTTAAATTCTTCCATGAGGGAAACAAAAGATGATGATGTACGAGCATAAACACTAAAACACCACATCTTCTAAAGCTGCACCCTGAAGAGACATCGTGTCTTAACGTCTGTGTTTTTTTGCTCATCCCAGCATCTTGTCCTCAGAGGAAGCCCTCACTCTGCTCAGCATCATCCACTCCATTGAGGTTGGTGACATTAATTAAAGTCATTTGACCTTTTCTTTCCCCCTTTGTTCTCTTATGTGGCGCTCGCCTCGACTCGTTCATTTCTTTTTAGCTCACCTCACGATCATTGTTGTTTCAGATTGTCGAGGTGGACTGCAGTTTGACAGCCCAACACCTTCACGATTGCTTCTCACAACAAGACTACAGGTGAAGCACACGCAAAGACACATACAAATTAAATCAAATCACAAATCAGACCAGAATTTATTTCTAAAAGCTGAAGATGAAACACTTTCAAGGTGTAGAAAAAGATCCAGCACCTCCTCAATGTGTCCTGAAAGTTTCCTGTTTGCATCTTAGCAACGACCCCTCGCCTGACTCCTGACCAGATACATTTCACATTCAGACATTTTAAGGCCCTTTTGAATTCTTGTCCTCTTTGTCTCAGCATGCCCGGGCAGGTGTGAGTGTTGTTTTAGCCCTGCTCATAGATGTCCCCAGCGGTACTCTCACAATAACTGTTGCCATGACAACCATGTCAAACAGTTGTCACGCACTGATTTCAGGAATTTATTTAAAAGAATGCCTAATAGATCTGTATTCTTCTGTACTAGACAACCACACTGATATATAATAAGTTGTTCACATGATGCTTGAATGAAGTTTTCTGGATCACAAATCAGCTGTTTGGGTTGAAACCTTATCACACACATTGTCTTATTCAGTAGCTTGTGTTACATGGACTACAATTAAATGGCAGTTGTAGTTTTATTTTAAGATTGTTTTTTTTAAGTGGCCTTGTAAATCAGAGATATTTCATATATCACAAGACAATCATATAATTAAACATCACGTAATCTGATTAACTGACGAATATAAATTAGAATAGAATAGATGTTTATTGCCATGTGCACAGGTACAGGACAGTACAGGTACATTGGAATTATTGTGCATTTCTCCCTGAGTCAGCTTCTACAAAAAAGTTAAGATTATATATAAGATAGAACAGCATTATAAGAAAAAAAGAGTAGAAAAGTACAAATAAATAAATACAAATAAATAAGTTGTAGTAACAGCTAAGTGAATTAAAATAAACTGTACAGAAGTTATACACTGTATTAAAGCAAAGATATAATACAAAGAAAAATGTCCCTAAAAAGTGCAAATTAATGTATTTTATTCACTGCAGGCTTTTTTCATAACATCTTTACATCACACTCTGACAGTGTCCTGCTGTCTCACTGTCAACTTCTACTTTGACCAACTTCTTTTTTTCCGTTACTAGCGGACTTTATTTAAACGATCGATGTTAAACAGAGTATATTTACCGCTCATTAAAGGACTCCCATAAACTCTCATAGTATGAAGAAAGTGCTGATTTACCAGCTTAGCCGGGGTCAAAGCGGAAGTAAATATGTGTCATTTTGAGACGCCATGGTCGCTGTAAACCGTCGTAAAAATAGCTTATTTTAACCAGATTATTTTTGGGAGGTGCTGGGATTTGTTTGCAGCTTGAAAAAAAAAAAAAAGGCCGAGTTGCTTGAAGGATTTATTTAAGGACTTCAGTGTGACCTCTGACCTTTGGCTCTTTGGCTCTTTGGCTCAAGCTGCACAGTCACATTTATCCGGCTTATTCTTGGCTCCTTATGCTTGTCACTCAGAATATGAAACGGTTTAACATAAGCTGCACACTACTTTAAATTAAGATAAAACTGACATAGTTTGTTATTTTACTCCCGTGTTGTTCAAGAAAATATCAGACAATTTAACTGAAATGCCATAAAACTCTTGTGATGAAGTGATGAAACCATAAATATATGATTGGTTAGACTAACAGAAAATAAAGTATCACCATTTTATTTTATTGTTTGTTCCCATTACTTTTTTATCAAGAAGTACTACTCTTGAGACGGCTTAATTTTTCATCAAATTTAGGAAATGCATATTTCTGAACTATTGGAGCTTCTTTAACGTTGATGTATTATTTAAAAATAATAGTTTCAGTATCACTAACCCCACGACAAGAGGTCCATAAACATGGTTCTAAATATAAACAGCTGTCATTGAAAACAAGCAACAGTGAGAAAAAATAATCAGATAATTTATTTTCCAGTTTCCATGAATTCCTCTAATTCAGCTGTTAACTCTTGATAAGATACAATACGATATGATTTTTAGATCTAATTTAATATCTCTTTCAGCAAAGATTACTCTGAATTAAAACATCGTCATAGCGACCAAGTATGAACATCAGAAAGCAGATAAACAGAATTATTTGTACTGCTCTTCTTTTCTTCCTGTTGAATAATGTAACCAAAGGGGTTTATATAGTATTAAACACAACATCTGCTGTGTCACTTTGCGGGAGAGCTTTGTGGGCACTCAGAGCGCACGTCACTCCAGCTTTTGTTACATCAGGTCGCCACTGAGAGATGGCGTTCATCTGGCTGTGTTGTGACTGTAAATGTTTTATTTGCTACATTCACTGTGCAGGCCGTTACTTAGTGAGAGCATTATCCGCATGTTAAATATTTGATTCCTGTGTTCAGTGCCCTGGTATGATGTCATTAGTTATATAAAGCCTTAAGGAGGTTTCAGTGCGCTCACTGATGGGCGAGCGTTTGGTTGAAGCAGCCTCAACAGAAATTAAGCAAATTAATAATGTCATGTCAATAAAGAGCATTCTGTGTTTGTTAATCATTTCTAATAACACACAGACATGTTGGCTTAAAGTAAAAAAAATGTTTTATTGAGTGTCAGTATTAAGATACTTTACTGCCCTTTGTGATGTCACAAAGGGAAAATCCCCAAACGGCCTGTTTGAGCACACATTTTCTGAAAAGTGGAGCAGGCTTAAGACCGAGGGGATGGACTTTTCTCATCATTGGAGGGTTTGTAGACGGACTAGAGACACATGTTGGTGTATGATCAAGTATATCCTCTGAAAATAACTCTGTGAGTCATGACTGTCTACAATGGGTGTAACACCCGAGTCCCACTGTCTGTGATGCTTTCAGAGTTTTCAGAGTCCTATCTTCACTTTGTTTACATCGCCGGGACGACCGGCTGACTCCTCCCCTCGTGTATAAAAGTTGTTTAATTGAGGGACTAGAGAAAAGAAGAATAACATACTGTACTCACTGCTTAACTGTGTTTCTAGATCACGCTCATTTCAGGTAAATTTACATGCAGTGTGAAGATACGAGCATAATAAAGATCGCTAGCATTAGCATGCTAACACAACAATGCACCAAGTTGTTTTGGTTTCATGCTGGTGCTCAAGGGCGACATCTGCTGGATCAAAGAATCACATATAAAGCCTTTAATGTTTGTTTTTTGTAGCCGTTTACTTACTCCTGAATTCTGAAAGGTCCAAGCAAACAGAAGAGACCCAATAATGTGTTTTTACAGGGTAGGGTTCAGTACATGAACACTTAGAAATGCCTTGTTTACAGTACACAACTTTCGACATGCATCTACATTGAGCTCATTTCTGAATGATATTTCAATTTTACGTTTTTGTTTTTTTAGGTGAGGGGGAGGAAGTGAAAAAATGTTTAATGATTCAATTTCTGTTTCTCTGCTCCGTTGGCCTTCTTCTAGAAAACATTCAGGTCCAATATTTAATTATAATCAGACATGCATCTCTTATGACCTACCGTACTTGTGCTGTTTTCACAAGTGTCTGTGGTTTTCTGAGTTCTTTTCACCCGTGGATGTGTGATTAGAGTTTATGCATGGTAGCTCATCTGCAGGTTAAACAAGCATATAACCTCTTCTATTGAAATCATGTGAATTCAAGTCTTGGTGTTAGCATCATTATTTAGCTTGCGTGTCTCCTTCTTACACAATTAATGCCTGCAGCCTTCAATATTAAACACCAGATTATTTTTAGCCCCTGTCAGCAATGATCACACGGTTTGCACATTATCTTTATGTAACAAACTGAAGGACCAAGAAAACACTGTGTCACTGTTTCGTGGAACTCACCGTCCTTTAGGGAGAAAGATTAGTTGAATAACAAAATCCCCAAAGCCTGAAAATCATTTTTTCTGTTCCACATTAATGAGAAACAGATCCTTCTTCACACTCTGCTGTTTCTCATATCAGTCTTTTAATTTTATCTTTAAATATATTGAAAAGTCAGTTAAAAGGAAAATGGATTATAGGTATAGGTTTAAACTCAATGGAAACCAAGATAGAAGGTCCTCTCCAATCATTTATTCTATTATAATACTGAAATATTTTTTTTTATCATTTGCTAATTAGGCACCAAAAGACATTTAAAGTCTTTATATGTGATTTTTCACACTTAAATGTAGAAATCAAGTTTATCCTCTGAAAATAACTCTGTGAGTCATGACTGTCTACAATGGGTGTAACACCCGAGTCCCACTGTCTGTGATGTTTTCAGAGTTTTCAGAGTCCCATCTTCACTTTGTTTACATCGCCGGGACGGCCGGCTGACTCCTCCCCTCGTGTATAAAAGTTGTTTAATTGAGGGACTAGAGAAAAGAAGAATAACATACTGTACTCACTGCTTAACTGTGTTTCTAGATCACGCTCATTTCAGGTAAATTTACATGCAGTGTGAAGATACCAGCAGAATAAAGATCACTAGCAATAGCATGCTGGTTTCATGCTGGTGCTCAAGGGCGACATCTGCTGGATCAAAAAATTGCATATAAAGTCTTTAAAGTCTTTCTACATTAAACATCTTACAAGCCAACCTGTGCCTCATTAACTGTCTTTACTTCACAATCCTTTCAGTGAGACACTCTGAAGATCACTAATCAGCTTTAAAATCCACATCTAATGAAACAAGTGATTTTATGTCAACTGTGGAATCAAAGTGTGAATGAAGATTTCAACAAAAGAAGACGTGGCATAATGGGTGAAAATATATTTAAAAAATGTATCAAAGCATGTTCAAGAATTGAACTCCAATATTTTTAAGAAAGCCAACAACACCTTCCTGCACATTTCTCCCACTTCTGTGTTTCTTTTTTCCTCTGATGTCAAACAGTAGATTCAGACACCTATGATTAGTTGCAGTGGAGATGACCCACGAGTCCATGGCGGCGTCACGGGGGAGATAGAGGAGTAAATTAAATTAAAGAGTAGATTGTGATCATGTGATTGAGGAATGGCTTGTTGGACATCAGTTATCAGTTGTGTCATCTCAGAGCATCATGTGGTTCTCTGTTCAATTCAGTACAAATCGTTGTCTCTCTCCTGTGGACATCCATTAATTACCTGACACACACATGTAGGCTGTTATATCACACACAGCACTGCCTCTTTGTGTATACGTTGTGGATGTGGGTCAGTGGCTCTGTGCGTCACTCGCTTTGTGTGAATGCGTTCAGAGGTTCTGATGCTCTTCCACATGACCTGTGTGTCTCACTCATGACTCCATAGTTGTCAATGCAAACACATGTCACACGGTCCCTTTGTGCATGGAACACGCTGGAATCTGAGGTGGGTCATGAGTGACAGACCAGCAGCACTTTTTTGGGAGTAAAATAAACCCAGGAAGAGTGAACAGACGACACTCGACCTGCCGTTTCCCCGGGTTATGAAAACACATAGCTGGGCTGTTTGATGGCTGTGGGGAGCTGCACTGTTGGAGTGGATGTAGAGTGAAAAGGAAAAAAAAGAGGGCCTCAACATCCAGCACATTCTGCTCTTTCTCTCCTCCGTCTTTCTGCTGGAGGTTATGTAACGCACCAATGGAAACAAAGCAGAGGAGGAAACAAACAAGGAACAAGCTCCCTCAGTGTCTCTGCTGCTAAGCAGCCGTTACCAAGACAGTAGTGTCCCATTTGTGTTTGTGCTCAAAGACTGTTAAGTGTGTTAAGTTGGTGCACTTGTAACTGCGTAGATGTGTGTTAAACATGCATTTCTGTGATGTGGTCGTTACCAGAAACATGTGATTCAACTGGAGAACAGGGAGTGTGAGCCGGAGCTTCTGGATGCTGCAGCGTACAAAGAGGCTCTTTGTCTGTCATGGACACTCCGTGCTGAACATGGTCAGCACATAGAAAGTGATCAGCAGTTCCACTATTCTCCACAGAGTTTGACTGTTGATTCAAAGCATCACAGTTTTCAACCAGAGCCCCATCCAATTTAACCCCCCACCCCCAACCAAAAAATAACACCCCTATCTAAAACTTTGTTATGAGAAATAACCAAAAAAAACATCCAATCTTTTTCAGGAATTGTTGTGTTCATTCAGGAGTGATTCACCCTGAGAAACACGATGATTGAGGGGGAAAGAGTTAGATTTTTTCTTAATTTAACCTTTATTTAACCAGATTTCTATGGAAGCCCATTTCCGCCAGTTAAAAAAATAAAAATAAAAATTTTGGCTTTGTTGAGATTTTCTTTTGTTGTTGAAATTCTGAGATAATAAAGTCATAATAATGAGATAAAGATCAAAATGTTCTCTGTTTATCGTGTCCCATGCTCAAGTGGTTTATTCTGTGACTTCTGCTCCAGGGGCCTGTATGTACAGTCGTTGAATGTAGTCTTCAATGTGACCGCGATGCATCCTTGAATGTCATTATTTCCAACAGCTGTCATCAGAAAATCTCAACAAAGCCAAGTTTTCATTTTTATTTATTTAACTGGCGGAAATGGGCTTCCATAGATTGCTCCCATTGGAATTAAGAACCTCTTTTTCAAGGGAGACCTGGTCAAGACAGGCAGCAGCAAGAGTTACAGACAGAGACACAAAGAAAGACACAGAACAATTTACAGACATTACATTTGATCTATTAGATCATCTAGAACCAGTGAGATCCGGGAGTCAGCTGATGTCCCTGTATCTCATGCCTCTTCACATGTCTTCTCAGGGACAAGCTGAGAACTGGAGGAAACCTGTTAATGGAGCTGAAAGGGGCCCTGGATCAGTGTGTTTGGACCTTCACCTCTCGGTCCTGATTGGACCAGAATCAGTGAGTCTGCACATAAAACCACACAGGTGCCTTCTGAGACTGATATCCTAAACTTGAACTGTAAATTCAATGGACCTCAGACGATTCTGTTTCACTAGTGCTGAAACATTTTGTTTTTCATTTTCCAGCCATAGAAATGTTTTTGCCGACGAGGTGATACAACCGCTCCTATAGGGTTGAATGCTTTTGTTAGCTAGAGCGCTATCTTCTGTATCTGGCTGTAGAATTCAACTGTATCAGGTTCTCCAATAGAAACGTCACAGGGCTTCATGTCATTCAGTTCAGTTAGTCTAGAAGCATATCTGTACATATAAAACAGTATTTTTATATTTCAAGTGTTCATAATGCTGTATTTTAATTTATTGTGTTCATTTTGTTCATGAAACATTTTGTTCATGCAAAACTGTAACATGAGCTAAAAGTGAGTCTCCTGAATGTGCAGTAGGCAACGATTTCTGACAATCAGCTTTTAAACTATTTGAGTTTCTATATTTTGTGTTCACTACTTTTCAACCCGGACTAATAAACACTTGTTTCTTTAAAGTAATGGTTCTTATACTTCAGCAAAACCTTTAGGCTTAAGTTAGTAGGTTGGCCTTTTTGGTAAATACAGATTTTGGTACTGATGGTTTTTTTGCTGAGAAATAGATGATCTTTGATGACAGTCTGTTAAATATAAAGCTAGAGCTAAGGGACGGTTAGCTTCGTTTTCTTGTTTAGTTAAGCATAAACACTGGAGGCAGGTTGAAACCACTAAACTCTGTTTAAAGGAAACAGAAGACCACCTAGCAGCTCAATTATTGACATGAACTGCCGCCATATTTTTCTAGCTTTGGTAAATAAATATGTGCTGACTGTTTCCTGGCTGTGATCATCTTGTTGTCTCTGTGAGGCTGTTAGACAACCAGTGACTTTGTTTTATAGCTTACACTATTCAAATCTTAGGGGTAATAAACGTTTTATTTTTCATAGAAGTTTGAAGTTTTGATTTTATTATTGTGTCATAAATACATTTGTATTTTAATGATCCCACTCACCCTCTCAGTAATTCTTTATATAACTGTGACGACATTTTCCCAGTTTGTGACTGCCGGTTCCTGGTTCTAATCCCCATGGGACAGGGCCTTTCTGTGTGGAGTTTGCATGGATGGATTTCTACAGAATATTAAAATGCACCGACGATCACAGTCTGTGTAAATGTTTGATTTAAAAATGGTCTGGCCTGAGGATAAAAATTAATAATTGATTTAATTTTAATCATAAAATAACTTTGTAGATGTATTCTACTTTTTGCCTGCTGCATTGAAATGTCCGTTTTCCACAAAGGGTGATGATGATGTTGTGTTTACAGATTGCTAAAGGGTAGTGACACATGGGAAAAAAACTTTTTCAAAGACTTTTAGTTTCCAGTCTAAGCTAAGCTAAGTTCATAGCCAGTATAACAACAAGCTGGATTGTCCATGTGTCTCTGAAGCTGCAACTGATTGGCTCTTATTTGTTTTAAATAAAGGTGAGCCTGAGACGTGTTACAGCGCTAATCGTCACAACATTTACATCGTCTACTTTGCAAAACCAGCAAACTTTTCAGCTTCTGCTTGTGTTGATGTGTTTTATTTAAAGTGAAAATGTAAATAATTTTCAGAGTAAAATATATTTTATGTGAAGGAGTTAAAATGTTTGTAAAAAAAAATATATATTTTGAAGCATTGACTTATTTCCTGCTTTCTTTGTGGTACATTTGACTTTCAGGAGAGGCTCAGCTGTGTGTGTGTGTGTGTGTGTGTGCGTGCATGCGTGCGTGCGTGTGGTAGCTAAGGGGATTAGAGCTAAAGTGACGCCAGCAGACAGGCAGAGATTACAAACTTCTGCCTCTGTGACACTTAAGAGTTAAAAAGAGTTAAAGATGTCACGCGGGGAGAATAATGAGGGTCAGCAATGTCCCCGACCTTTTGTATGTCATTGAATCAATGCAGAGTTGGACACTTAACATGCAGCTCCAATTCAACATTTTGGTTTATCGTATGCTGACAGAAAAAAACAACCTAAGCATTTCATAACAGCATGTGGTGAAGTTTTTAGAGCACTGCATCTCTAAATAAACAACACAACTTTGTGTTATTACATTTTCTACATGACCCAATATATCAAGTTTTTAAGATATATCGATATATTTTCAAACAAGATCTAGGGTAAGACAACATCGTTAATATGGATATAGTTTATGTTGCATTAAAATAACATTACAGAGGTACCAGGTCACCTTTTTCTCATCTCACTGATGATGACTGACTGTCTGTCCCTCTTCACCCTGCTCCTCCTCGCTCTCTCTTTTATTGTATTTAAGGAACATTTTTATTTTATAATATTACTTTTTAAATTCACAACAGGAAGTTTATTTTTCATGTGTTTTCACTGTTAAAAAAAAAGGCATATCGAGATATGAGTTTTGGTCCATATCGCCCAGCCCTAACCACCAGTTACATGTCTTTGCTTTAATGAATTCACCATGTCTTTGGTTTAGTTTCCTGCCTTCTGGCAATTGTACACTCTAAATTAAAAAGAGGAAGCCCGCAGATCATGTTTCCTGTTTCCTGTGTGAGAGACGGCTTACTGGACATTTGCATTCACACACTGCAGGAATAAAAGCTCAGCGGACAGACTCATCAGTGTCTAAGTACTAAATCCTTGCTTCCTGTGGCACGTGGCCCATATGCCGCCCGCCTGTTTTAGTTGTGACTGTCAGGTGTGTCAGCAGAGATTACCAGAGGCTAACTTGTGAATGAGAGCAGGTCGGGGATTTGAGGAAAAAAAACTGACTGACTGGCAGTCTGTCTGTCTGCGGTGTCGGGGCTGGTGCAGATGCAGCTGGTCCTATTTTTAAACACTCTGAGAGACCGGCGACATCCGTTCCTGCTGAGGTCTGTGAGCCAGTTTAGTATAATCTCTCTTAAAAGACACTTAAGAGGAGCAGAAAACAAAACCTGGCTTAGTGCAGTAGTCCCTGAGGAAGATGGTGGCAATGAGAGCTACTGCAGTGACCAGGACGCAGTAATTCCTAAACATTGAGTAACACAAGGAGGCTGTAAAGACTAAATTTAGGGTCAGAATTTCAGCTGTTGAGAATTTGATTTCAGGCTTGCAGCGCCTGGTTCAGCTGCTGATCTCTGATTTGAAAGTGCTCAAGCATAAAATACAACCAACCAGAAAGATCTCAGGTTTTTACATCTTAACAACTTCAATCCCTTTTTTTTACAGATCTCTAAAAACTAGCAGTGATAAACAGTACAACCAAGTTATTGCCCGACATAAACTTAATGACTTTCAGACAGAAGGCAAAAGACAAAACAAAGTAGATTTAAATGATTTATTAATTAAGAAATGTTACAAATGTGATATTTTTCTCACTCTTAACATTCCTTCCAGAAGAATCTGCCAATGCCCGACACTTTAAAACACTAAAAAGAAAAAAAGGATCTTCAGTAAACTGCATCTCTACATACATCAATTAGTTGAATCACAATAACAAAAAAGTTTGGTTAGCAGAAGCATGGTTGTGCATGTGTGTGTAGTGTGTGTGTGCACAAAAACGTAACTAAAAACTGGCACTGGTTAGATTCACTGACCGAAGCCGTCTGCTACTACTTTTGTTTTCTTCTTTCGGTAAATCAGCAGTGTATAAAAAATATAAAAAAGGCCATTGTTTAAGATTCAAAAAAAGCAATTCCAGCTTGTTTTAAAAATGACACAAAAAGCCATGACAGGTGTTTTTAATCAACTCGCACTCATCACTAAGGCTTCAAACCGCTGACCTTTTAAATATGTGAGGAAAACATTTCCACCACAGAAATACTCTTTAAATATAACTTTGAATCTTCAAGTCAGTTTGTAACCACTCCATCCTGCTACCTTCCAAGTGACCACTGATAGCTAGCTCATCTGAAAACCCCCTCGACAAAGTGACAAACCTTCAACTCTAGGAGGAAAAAGAAAAGCACTAAGTGTGTAGTAAATGTTGGCAGATGACAAAAAATGAGGAAGAAACAAAATATGTACAACATCACACAAACGTATGCAATTTGCAAAGGCGTCAATGTCGCTTTTGGGCAACCCAATTCATCCCCGCACGCCAAATATAAGCCAGTCTTCACTGAAGACCCCTCATCCCCCCCCCTCCCCTCCCCCCCACACGTATCCGCTCATACACACAGAACATCACGAAACACGATTACGTCACTAAGCCTGTTAGTTTGGAAAAAGGTGAAGCACTGTGAAACTCCCCTCCCCCCCCCCCCCCAACCCGTCTGCCTGTCTCTCCCCTCCTCAGTCGGAGAGGGGAGTCAGGGTCTGGGTGCAGTCGTTCCACTCGTCTGTATCGGGGTTGTACACCTCCATCGTGTTGAGGAACTCGTTCCCGTCGAAGCCGCCCACAGCGTAGATGTTCTCCCCCAGCATGGCCACCCCGGCGTTGCTGCGCGATGACGTCATGCTGCCCAGCATTCTCCACTCGTTGCGGGAGGGGTCGTACATCTCCACGCAGCGGAGCGCGTGAGAGCCGTCGAAACCGCCGACGACAAACATTTTGCCTGCGCAGGAGGGAGAGACGCTGGGTTAAGCATCATGTGACACCACAGAGGAAAACATCCAGAAGTTAAATCCTGACTCTGAAGCCCGGCTCACTCTGCAGGATCATCGGGCTGATTTGAGCTCCGATTCTTCCCGACAGTCTCAGCGTCGCTCCCGACTTGAGGCTGCTCGGACCCGATTCTCTGCTCAGATTATCTCGTAGTGTGAGCGGTCCAAAGATCCAATCTTAACGTCCCCGATTTATTTCAAACATGTTTGATATTTAGAATTTAAAATCCTGATGATTACGTCATGAAAGGGTCCGGCAGAAGTTGTGTGTGACTACAATATAATCACCAGAGACAAGGGAGGACTGTCGTCATGGCGACCAGCGGCAGGACGCAACCCAGTGTTTTTTCTTTTTTTTACTTTTCAGTACAGATCATCAGTGCAGCACTTTTCTGAAACTTGTCTCCATATATCTACGATTGTATCAACTTTTCTATATCCTACAACAACTTCCACTTCCTTCTCTTTCACCAACCGTCGTCTTTTGTTTTTTAAAAATGAAACTTTATTAACAATTGTCAACGCTCCGTCCTGATTTCACTCGTACAGTGTGAGCTGACATGCCACCCCAACTTTCATACAATCGGGGAAGAATCGCACAGTGTGAGCCCGGCTTAAGTTTGCATCTTGTCAGCATGTTGATTGGTCGGTGTCCCACACAAACACACTAAAGAAGCTCCCACAGATATGAAACCTTCTGAATTACTGTCTCACCTTCGTGTATAGCAACGGCGGCCCCCCTGCGAGCCACGTTCATGGGGGCGATCAGGGTCCAGGTGTTGTTTTCTGGGTTGTAGCGTTCCACAGTGTTCAGGCAGTTCCACGACTCCGCCCCTCCAATCACGTACATGAAGCCTTCCAACTCACAAACCGCAGCCTGGTGCCTCCCTGAAATCAAAATTCACTGAATGAGACCACCGAGAGGTTCTCTGATAAAACTGTTAGCCTACTTTGGTTATCTCTGTTCCAACAGCCCAGTTTCCCAAAGACAGACATTGACATCACTTAAAAACATTATTCAGCTTAATGTTTGTTGTTATTTATATGAAAGGTAAAATAGTGTGTCACACGTACTGATGTTAAGGGAGGCACAGTTGGACCACGTTTTGGTCACCGGGTCAAAAGCGTCACAGTTCTTCAGGCCCTTCTGCCCGCAGGGGTCCGAGCCTCCCACCACATACAGTTTGTTGTTTAATGAGCAGACTCCTACAAACAAGAGGAGACAGAGAAGGAATGAGCCAAAGAGGTAAACTAGCTCCAGTCAGCAACAGAGAGGCTGTAGTAACAACTCATAAAAATCCTCTTGCCACTTCTTGCAGGACTAGAAGTTTCTGACTCGTAGGCTATTTCCCAAAATACTAATTTTTAAGTAATCCAAAAATGAAAGGAGGCAGATTTAAAGACGAATTATTCCTCAAAAAAAGAATTAAGCTCTTAGAAATATCACGCGTTTACGAAAAGAAAACCTCTCGGATTCGACCAAAAACTAAAACCGTGACGGTCAGAAAACGGTTGCTCCTCGTCCTGCTCGTCTGAGTATTTATTCACCTGTACCCCCACATGGCAATTTACGCCAATTAGCTGCGCTTTACAGCAGGAACACACAATGTTTCAATACGTGATAAATATAAAGAAATGTAAATTAATTCTCAAATTAAAAAGCAAAAACTCTATTAATGATAAACACAAAATTATACTAATGGGGAAATTATATTTTTATTAACCTGTTGTCCTCTATGGCTCTAACAGTGGATGGTGAATTGAATAACTCCTGACAGTGAGTTATTGAATCCTGGCATGAGGGACTGACCTGCGTTGCAGCGGTTGGTCCTGAGCTCTGGCACTTGAGCCCACTCATCGGCCTGTGGATCGTACCTCTCCCCACAGCTCAGCTCATCAGAATGTCCATTTGAGCCTCCAATCACGTACAGCTGACCCTGAGAGGGGAGGAAACCGAAAAAGGATTAGATAATGCAACACTTCACTCATTTCATTTTTTGTTTTCTGGGTATATTTGAAACTACACGCACGCACGCACACTGATAACAAGTAAATACACAATTATCTGTCATATTTGGAGGGGGGGTAGTTAAGTATAATAGGTAAGTGTGTGAGTGTTTGCACAAGACGGTTGTTCGAGCACATGTGTCAGTTTACTGTAGAGTCAATAATAAATGTGAGATAAAGACGGATCGTAAACCGTACCATGAGCACGGCCATCTGGAATCGAGCCCTCGGAGTCCGCATGGGAGCGATGAAGGTCCAGCGGTCCTCTTTGGGGTCGTAACACTCCACAGTCCTCAGACACTCCTCTCTGTTGTAGCCTCCTGCAGGAACATTAACATCACTTGGAATAAAGCTCTGTGGTCCCACTTTTCCCTCTACATTTTTCTGACCCGGTGCAGCACTCACTTCTACCTTTTTTTTTTCCAACAATGATTAATTATCTAATTTTTTTAAGCACTGACGCTCAGATAAATCATGCATCCATCTTTACCCTAAGCAGAACAGTACACAGACCATGGTGACAATTCTGCTGCAGGAATTGACGGCCCTTGAGCTACACATCAAGACCGAGCACCCTGAGGTAAGTTTATCTATTCCTGTGCATCCCAATCTCTTTGGTAGCTCCATTAACACACACACGACAGATATATATATAAAACACTTCTAACCCTCTGTAGTGCTCACCTGCTGCGATGAGTCTTCCGTTCAGAGACGCCGTGCCCAGGCCAGAGCGAGCGTAATGCATGGGTGACAGCGGTTGCTCCTCGAGCTCCTCGGGCTGGGCCTCGAAGCTGAGGCTCTTCATCAGGCAGGGGGTGGCAGAGGGAGAAGTCTGAGGGCTGCTGCGGCCGTGCAAGAAGATCACACACAACACGCCATCCAGCACAGCCAGACACAGGTAGGTGTTGTCTAAGGGTGAATGGGTAAATGTTAACACCGCTTCAGGGGAAGAGAGATTTGAGATTATGCTCTAGATTTTGGATGAAGTTCAAATAATTCATACATTCTAAGGATATATCTTAAAGAAACACTCCTTTCTAACAGTACCTTGACCATTCATTCACACACAGACTTACTTGTGGTCTTCTCAGAGGCGATGTACTTCCATTCTCTCCTTGCCGTCTGTTTGGGGGCATTAGCTGCTTGGTTGGAGGGCGACAGGCTTCCTGAGGAGCTGCAGCTCATCTGTCTCTGGGTACTCTCTCGCACAGGTTTTTTCTGCAAGAGCACAGTGCAGCTACAGAAGCCAAGCTTGCACCACGGGGCCCACTAGGGGGGCCAACACCAGCTCAACGACACTTTGATCAGGCTGTCTTAACCTAGCCATTTCAATCCAAACAACACACCACTGCAAACTACAGCCTCAGACCACATTACAAGCAGTTCAGTCACAAGACAGACAACTAGTTAAGATTAGTTTAAACTCAAACATGGTTTTAATATATGCTCGAAGGCATAGCCAGACAGGCATCATGGCTAATTTGAAGGTAATCTACTGCCATTAGTCTTTTACATTGTAGCTGAAATGTGGTATTCAATGAGTCTACTTGTTGCCAGGCACAAACTTTTGTAACTGAGGTAGCAGACACTGCCAAGTAAAAATGTGATGAACACTTCATCACAAAGGCCCCGAGCTGTTGAGTACCTGCACAAACTGAAGGTGGTCCTCCTCGCCACCAAACACCTCACTGTGCCCCTCTATCACCAGCCCTCCATCCACCAGCTTATGGTCAGGTGAGTAGTACAGCGTTTGCACCTGCAAGACAAACAGCAACAACACACCCATGTGGCTGTCTCCATTGCAACACACCAAGAGCCCCAGTATGAGGACGGGAAAGAAGTTAAGGGAGCAGGAGGAGGAAGAAGGGGTTGGGGGGCAGTGCTATGAAGAGGAAGAAGAGGGGGGGGGGGGACAAAGGTCTGTATCTTCAGCCTCTTGGATGGAAAGCTTCCTTTAAAAAGACACACACGCTGCAGCCACTGCATAGAGTGGGTCAAGTTTTTACGCTTTAGAAAGGTATCAGACAAGAGAGAATCTCCTCAATTTGCATCTAAAACAAAAACAACAAAAAAAAGAAGGAGCTAATGAAGAATGTGAGGCTGCATCTGGAAAGATCTTCTGTGAAGAGTTTAGGAAGAGGAGGGAGGGGCTGCTTGTGTGGTGGCTCTCTTTCCAGCCCTGCTGCCCTGGAACCGGGTCGTCAAAGCTGAAGGAGTTGGGTCATTGTGTTGTAAACCACAATGGGATGTCATATCCAGATGACTTTAGTGCAGCATACTGTTGTTAGAAACCATCAAGCTTTTCTCCATCTTTACCCAATGATCAAATCAGATATAAAAGGAAAACCAAATATGTTCTTCTGTGGAGGAAAAAAAAACGATACGAGGATGCGCAAGTTTTTTAGTTGTCCATCACCGGGGGAAATAAAAAGGGAAAAATATTGTAGATTTTGCTGGAACCAATATAACATTTAAGATGACTAATTTATTTTTAGTAGGGCTAAAAAATATTTTTTTTTATTGAGCAAACCAATATGCTTATGTGCAATGTCGTTTTCTGTCCAGTGCCAGTGAGTTGGGCTTGATTTAGCCAGTAAGAATGTGATGTTATGTGCAGTAAAGTAAGCCTGTAGTAGGAGACTGTGGTGTATTTATTGCTGAAGATTGGTGGTAAGTGGGTGTTGGTAAATGTAGAAATGGGATGCATCTGTATATGTGGCATGGACAGATGGGAGCACAGTGTTGCTTGGCTGCAAAGAGAAGCTGCTGAGAGGCAGTAGTGCTCCTCTCCTCCCCTCTCTTTTCTCTCTGACTCATTACCCTGGTGGCTCAGTCCCGGCTCCTCAGTCTGGTCTCCTGCTGCTGCTAATAAACCTACAGGAGAGATAAATCAACGGGGAGGAGTGCCTGTTAGTGCTGGAGTGACAAACACGCACCTGTTCAGATAGTAAAAGTGGCATTGAAAACAGTAGAATTAAGGGTCAGACCTTTTGAAGGACCTTTGAGAAACCTGTGATTTGTGTTTCAGAGGAGAGGAGCACTGTAATACTCAAAAATGGGGTTGTGCGAAAACCAACCACCACATACTCAAAAGAGAAACAAAAAAAACCAAGAGCAAACAGCAGCTCTTTTTTTGGCTCACCTCTAATTTGTAGTATGGTTCAGGGGTACAGAGTTTCTTACTGCAAAACCTCAACAAATCAGAGGGAAAAAACAACAATCCTGACATAGCAGCATGACACTGGTATGCCATTTCTACTTCAGCCTCCTTCATGACGTCTTAATGTCAAACACAGGAGGAATCACAGGGAGGGGAATGGGGGCAGGGTGGGAAGGAATATCAGCCTGAGAGTTTAGACTGCACGCCCCAGTACTGACCTCCTCCATAAGACGTTCCAGTTGGTCTCCGTTCTCCCAAAGGCTACGCTGCACCCAGTTGAGCACCTTTGAGTAGAGCTTGCCGTTGCTGGGCAGAGTCAGGTTGTCTTCTAGCATTACTTCTAACTGTAAACACACAAAGGGGAGGAAACAGGGTTCAGTGTCACATACAGAATGGAAGAAAGTGACTGCTTAACTGAGACAATTAACAATGCATTTTAAATCTTATTTGTTGCTCATCTTTGATATATCCATGGCTCCCTTAATCCCGTTTAAAGAAATCTAATATGCATTACGTATATGAAAAATAATCATTTTTTGTGTTTTTTTACACACAAACTTACAGGGGGCGCTAAGTACTCAAATTGGCATTTAAAGGGTTAAAATCTTGAAAATGAATACTTTTTTTTATATCAATCAACAGAGCTGGAGTTGGTTAAAAAAATGAAGTCAATCAAAGTAGGAAAAAACATCACTGTATAATATTTTTATTGCCATTCATGAACGGCTGCCATTTTTTGCCACGAGGACGCTTAGCGTTCCTTTTTAAATAGATAGTCTGAAGGTTAATACCATGTCCTATTGCTCACTGGAAAACTTGATAGCACTTCCTTATTATTAATTTACCTGACATAAGGATATGTGATTCATCACCTCCATAATAACTTAATTTTACAGGATGGTGACAGCATCCATCTTCGCTTGTATTCATTTCCAGGGTAACTGCCGAAACAACCCATTGATCCAGTGAACAGGTTTGGATTAAACACAGACTGAAATGCATCTTAAATGTTCCAATATGAATATTTTAGGCCAAGTGTGCCTCACTGAATTAATTTCTTGTCTGGCAGCAAAAAATTAAATAAAAACAACCCTGTGGATTGTTGATGAAACAGCAGTAATAAGCGAATGGGCCACATAGCAGTTAGTCATCAATACTCATAATAATCAATATAGGTCAGGTTTGTGGCTCATAAGTAATATATGGCCTATTACTGAGCCTGTCCCTAAGGATTTACAAAGACAAAATCTGACGAATCAGGTTTGACTGTTCCATATTCACATAGTCCAATACAGAAGGAACACACACTGACAGCCCAGTGTGTGCGGGCGGGTCAGACCACTAACAAACAACGCCTTTTAATTTACCATTTGAAGATTTACTGTACTCTCATGATCATAAGTCATCCACCAAAACAATTCAAATCCAGTGAAAGTATTAATCCAAACACAATAAATCCATAAATATGCACGGCCTGCTTAAAAAAAAAAAACTCAGCTGTTTCGCTGACCTTTTAAAGAAACCACCAGCCAATTAGAGGCCTTTGTTGAAAGGGTGTGTGCAGCAGCTCCCTTTTCTGAAGAGCATTTGTTTTCTTGTAGCCAATGAAATTCTCAAAACATGGAAATGCTGCTCTATCAAAATCACCAAATTTCTCCCCGGGTTTATAAAAACAGCAGTTTTGTAAATAATCACAATGATGAGTCAATAATTTCAGCACTTCCCCTTAAGAAGGGTAAAGCACCATCAAGGCTAACCATCACACACACGTCTGTATTCCAACACGGCCCTCTCATTTATTTGTCTCACATGCAGAACCTCGGCTGCAGAGCTCTCCTTTAAATCATGTTGAACATAGAGCTGCTCACAGTAAACCCCAGCCCCAAATACATCCTTAGCAGGACTTAGGGAAATCTATAAAAAGGCACATGTTCATACTCTAAAGTGATGTTAATCTCTTGTCCAAGATGAAAAGTAATAATACAAATCATAATCCTGTCTGTTTTTTTTTTAACCTAAGACCTTTAATGCAGGACTGGGGGGAAAATACATGTCACCCATGTATTTTCAGTTGCATCTTCTGCTATGCCCTTACAGTTTTGCACATGCACAAGATCTTTCAACATGTGTTGCATGGTAGTTTTGTGATCATTGAATTTATCCCATTTATCTATAAATGACATTTTTTTGGCAAATTTGAAATTCATACCTTAAGGCGGGGAAGTTTGAGGAAGTCCTCCTGTTCGGACACTTCCAGTAGATGGTCCTGGATAAAAACATCCACCTTGGCCAAAACTCTCGCATCTCCCATAGAGCTGGCAAAGTTTCGGAAAGAGATGGCATTCTGGGAATCCATTTTAGACAGCAGGTAGTCGCCACATATCTAAAGAGGTGAGACGGGTTTGTTGGAAGTCACTGAGTAGTTCTTTGAAGCCTGTGAAATCCAAGTGTGAGAAAATTGCACTATTGGGGTAGTTAAGTGTTTACCTGTTTCACTCGTTCCATCTTGAACCTTTTGGCAGCAGAGTAAACTTCCTTGACCAGTTCCTTATCTGCCTTAAGCCTGTGTCACACAAAGAAGACAAGAGACAGAACATTTGAGAATTCTGAAGTGATGAGGTCAAAGGCCAAAAAGGTGCTACATTACTTACTGGGCAGTGTAGGCATAGTTGAGCAAGATCTCTACAGCCTCCGGGTCCAAGTCCTCAAAAGTAACATGCGAGACTCCGTGAGGCTCGTTGTCACTGTTAAAGATCTCAAACAGGTAGGGACTGCAGCAGGCGAGAACAGCACGGTGAGCCATCAGCTCATGACCACACACCTGAAATGACGAGACCAGAGAAAGGCAAACAGTTAGTGCATGGAAGAGGTTGTTTTAAAGTGGAAACAACTGCTACGAGACATTACAGAACACTGAAGAAACAAAACTGATGTGCTTATCGTAAAAAGGAAAACCTAATAGTTAAAGACTTTAATTTCCCTTGGCATTATCGAAACACACGTTGCTGATTAACTGCATACATTTCTCCAAAGGTCATTTCATTTCATTTATTTCGAACATGTTTTAAAATAAAATAAAAACATTACAAACAAAGCAAACAGCAATCAAAGCAAACTTTCTGTAGTGGCTCGATTATTTTTCCTTAACCAGTCTATGTTGGAAAAGGGTGTAGGATGAAATTAAATAACTTATCCAGTCCTACCCCCTTTTTATCTTTTTAGCTTAATAAATAAATCCAAGACTAAGCTTTAAAAAAATAAAGGTGAACAATACAGATAACAAAGTAACAAAAGCAACAGATATAATGTATTACACACATTAATTGATAGACAGTACAGACCTTACAACTGATATTGATTCAATTTTTCCCACTGACTGTTCAATTTTATATTTGTTAATTATGTTATTCTTGAAAATGTGTTTAAACTGTCTTAATGTTTTACATGTTTTCATTTCATCACTGCAGCTGTTCCATAAATCAACACCCTTCGTTGTAATACAGTGTAGTTTCATGTTGGTCCTTACTGCTGTTTTTTTTAACATAAATATTCCTCTGAGATTGTGTTTACTGTCCCTCTGCTGGAAAAACTTTTGGATACTGTTCGGTATCTGATCATTTTTAACTTTGTTCCAGACTTGAGTGGTTTTAAAGTCGACTAAGTCTCTACTGAAGACGGTGGGAACAGACTCTTGTACTTGAGATATGAAAGGAATGAGAAAACAATAAGCACTGCAGCAAACAGTCAAAACTAAACTGTCATGAGAAGAGAAACATACCATTCATCAGTCAGACAGAACATTCTGCTCATAACACACACCTCTGATCTTATACTTTGTGCATTTTGTCTGTGTGTCATGTTCCTTTCATTTTCTTTCCAATGCTTCGACTAAAAACGTTCCACAGCCCTTGTGTGAGATTGTGTGTGTGTGTGTGTGTGTGTGTGTGTGTGTTGAATAAAACATACCTGCAGTCTAACATCGCAGAACTGGCCACTCTTTCTCAGAGCGTTCATTTTGGCCACGGTGGAATCCAGGAAACTCTCATCCTCAAAGATCAAATAGCCGTTTGGAATCATCTTGTTTTGAATTTTGAAGGTTTGTCTGCAGGGGAAAAACAAAAGAAATAAATAAAAGGAGAGCCATACAAAATACTTCAAGATGTGCAACACTTTTAAAGCTGAATAGAGCAGAATAGGATTAGGTGGCTGCAAGAAGCATTGTGTATGATAATCCTCCACATGCATTAGTCATGGCCTTACCTAATGGGAGTATAATGTAAATCCAGGGAAGTGCCACTGATGAGTAGAACAGGAACTTAAACGTAGGCAACAGGCAAAGCAGACCGAGATCACAGAAGATTTCCAAGTCTTCTTCGCCCGAGGAGAGGGATGGGGAAGTTGTTAGAAGAAATGCCAGTTGACCAAACCCGGCTTGAGCAGAAGGGAGAGGGGGAGCAGCCGCAAGGACAAACTATCAGGCTTGAAGCGACTGTAATCAAGTCCTCAGGATCCCGTTGGCTATAGAGTTGTACTTATTCTGTGTTTGTCATACATTATAACCTAGAAGAAAATCAGAAAAGAAAAAGGATTAGTTTTATTATCATATAGTGGAGGAAAAGAAATACCTAACATTGAAAATCGATGCCTTCTGTTCCTGACAACCATAAAAATGGTAACATGAGTCACTCCACGTGGTAAATGAAGGCAGCCTGCATTTAAGATCAGGGCCCGCCCCTCTACTCTTCAAATATTTTAGTATCCTTCAAACAAGACGTTTTTTTTTTAATTCCCCTCATGCATAAAAAAGTAATTAGAGGTAAAACTACCTGATTCAGGAAACATCGGTCAACAATCCAGTCACAATATCCACATTGAATTCAGAATGAAAAGTCAGCCTTTAATCCTTACATGCCTAAAACCAAGAGGCATACAGCGCTGATAGCTAAGTCCTTGTCTTTGGCACTCCTTTTACACACAACATACTTTTAGTGCTTTAAATCTTCACACCTTTGTGTCTATGTCCAACCTAAGCCACACACATGACTGCTTAATCCATATCTTGCCTTCAGCTCTGCAGCATGGCCCCTCTAATTCTAGTTTATGTGACAAGCCCCTTTCACTGGCTCCTCCCTACAGGAACGCCTCAACTTATAAGGAAAAAGAAGGAGGGAACAATTTGTGACAGTTTTAACACAGCCAGTTGAGTTTTGAGATGCATCGGTTTCTATTTTTTGTATCGCGACTTCATAGCCACCATAGGAACTCCATCAACTTTTACAACCGTGGTGTATAAGCCCCACCCCCCACAGCTAACTCACATGTGTCCCTTCCAATACCAGCCCTCCCATCTCAAGACATTTTGACAAGACTGACCACAGCAGCTGAACCCGAGTCTGAAACTTTATCTGCACCACATGTGTCAAGGCTTACCTGGACAGTGTTTAATCGTCTCCCATGTAATTCTCACTCATTTGAAAAAAAGCTGTGATTTACTCCGCTCCTACACATAATTCACTCGTTACTCTAGCTTCCATCAGTGGCACATTTCAGTGGCCGCGTGTGAATCATAAGACAAGAATTTTCAAATAAAAGCCCCCTAGTTTGTGCACACAGCTTCAAGAAAAGGTATAAAAACACATTCTTACAAACCCAAGCTTGTAAAAAGGTCCCTCTGTACTGAAATAATTTGTTCTCTCTAAATTTGTCCTTTTTTTTCTTCTTTTTGTCCAATGTTCTACATTTTATTTATTTGATTTGGGTATCAAAAGAAATAAAACATTACAATTATACTGTGACTGGATTACATAGCCTCAGATTTGATCAAATGACCACACATAATAATAATAAATGTGTTTATATAGTGCCTTTAAAACATCGGTTTGCAAAGTGCAAAAGCATAAAAAAACAAAACATAGCAAAAGAACCCCAACACTGAAACACAGCTCAGTGCAATGGAAAAGAAAAAACAACAAGTAAAGGTCTGCAGGGGGAGAGGGAATACAGAAACCATGAAAATGTAATTGCTTAGCATGTGAGAAAAAAGTGCCTTTCACCATTTGAAAGTGTTTTACGGAGTTTTGTTTGGGAGTATTTTAACTAAAAAGATGCTAAACATGCAAAAAAAAAAAAAAACAACAACAACACTACAGTTTAGACGTGTGAAAGGCGGATGTGTTAAGCTACGACATGCTGGTGTTGTACAAGACGTATTTATTGGTAGATGCACAATGCTAGAATACAGACTTTTTGTATTGAACTGAGCAGCCTTTATAGCAAAGTTGGCATGGAGAGCGATAATTCATCCCGTCTGTGTGGACGGAGGAAACACTGACCCAGTTTTTTTAATGGTTATGCAATATCTGGCAGAAGGCCCCTTGTTAAGGCTCAAAAGCACAACTCCTCCACATGGTTGGTTGCCTGTTGCCTGTTTCTTCATATTGCTCTTTAACCAGCTTTTTCTGCAGGGCAACAAGCCACACCCTCAACTCGCTAGATGATTCTTTAATTCAGAGTTGCTGCCTTAATCACAGCAGTGATTCAATACCTACATTTTAATTGATAATACCTCCAAGACAATTGAGACCCCTTAATCATAAATTGACTCTGACTGTATACTACACAGGTTTATGCAGGACTTTAGATGCATAAACAGCATTTATATTTTTTTGTATTTTCCACTGCTAAGAATGTCGCTGGTGTCCCAACAGATTCACAATTCAAAGCAATCACTTTTGAGCTTTTCAAGCTGGATAGATGCATAAAAATCTAGACAAATAATTCTTAGCTTAATTGTTGAAGCAATGCAACTGAAACAATAACAAGGCAAGAACTATTAAATATTGTCAGTGTCAAAAACAGTTTAATTCTACTTTATAAAACCTTTTAGGCTTTGCCATTTGTTGTATATTCTGTAGAGTAAAAATGACCCACACTCTGTGAGGCCAGCACACCCCCAAGGTTGTCCTATAGTAAATCAGATGCTGATGAAGCAGGTCTATATTGGATCCCCTATATTTAGCATGTTATAAATATCAAGCTGTGCACATGGGTTACATACTGTTCTAGTGGAGTAATATTCCTTCTGGTCAATGGAGTAGCAGAAGAAGTCAGAGTGACTAGACCTAGTGACTTCGCTCATAGGAATTTAAATATATAGTCAAAAAAAAGCAAGGCCGACTTGGTGAGCTGTGTGTGATGACAAATGTGCACACGCCTCAAAAAGCCAGAGAACAAAAGAAGAGAAATACAAAAGAGAAAGCGTGAGATTGTTCACAACTTTGTCACAGAGGGATAACTCTGAATGTATTTTCTTTCTCTCTCTCTCTCTCCACCCCCATCTGATTAGTCAGGCACAATTGCAGGTCTGACGCTGAACAATCAATGCTTGTTAGTCAGCCCTCTAGCGGTAAGAGAGGCATTGCTGGATGTTTCACCCCACTTTCTGCTGTGTGGAAATGTACTGCTTCAATGTATCACCTCATGAGCAAAGGAATCTAATTATTTATGAATAGAACAAGAAGGCTGTGACATTGTGTTGCTAGAGTATATTTAAAAAATACAAAAAAAGCAGTATAATATTTAGAAACACTAATATTTCAACTGAATCTACAGAACATTAAACACAAGGGGATGACAATGTCTTAGCATGACTACCTAACATTAACCATTCATCAGACAAAAAGCCTGGCATTAGAGCAACTTGCAGCCAGGAGACACCACAAGTCACTTCAGGAAATCTGAAACGTTAAGAATCGACTTATTAGTCTCCCTTAACTACATAATCAATTCAGTAAAAGCCAATAAGGCGCAACGTCGACTGCATCAGAGAGGCCTCAATATTATGCCAAGACTGGTCACACCACAGCCCATAATGTCTGACACACAATGTGGGCACTATAAGGAGGTGGAGGGTGCGTAAAGGAGGTGGAGAGTGCGTAAAGGAGGTGGAGGGTGCGTAAAGGAGCCGGAGGGTGCGTAAAGGAGGTGGAGGGTGCGTAAAGGAGGTGGAGGGTGCGTAAAGGAGCCGGAGGGTGCGTAAAGGAGGTGGAGGGTGCGTAAAGGAGGTGGAGGGTGCGTAAAGAGGAGCCGGAGAGTGCGTAAAGGAGGTGGAGGGTGCGTAAAGGAGGTGGAGGTGCGTAAAGGAGCCGGAGAGTGCGTAAAGGAGCCGGAGAGCGCGTAAAGGACAGGGTGTACCCACGTTAGGGGTGGGGGGGTGTCATGGCATGGCCAGCAACTTACAAGTCTTACAATTGGGCCACCCCAGTATGTAGTGATTGCTTATTCGCTGCAAAGCAATGCCATTAATCTGCTTGCCTCCCCCCCCTCCTCTCCTCCTCCTCCACCGTGCAAAGGGCCATGATATATGGCGACGAGCCAGGATTCATATACCCACATCCCGCCACCAGAAAGTAGGTCAGCAACCGGATCAAAAAAAAATCCAATTAACGTGATTTTAACACGGATAATAGAAATACCTGAGCTAAAGCGTGATGTGCGTTTAGCTAAAGGCAACCTGATAACCCTGTGATAAGAGATGGAGAGGCTAGCTGTGTTAGCATGTTAGCTCCTCTTGACTACACAACCTGCTGCTGCTCAGTGAGCATGCGGGAGCCACGAACAAAAAGCCACATTCAATATAAATGTATCAAGTTAAGACAAAAGCCAGCATTTAATACAAACACGAAGATTGATGTCTAAAGGATGACAATGACTTTATCTCGGATTTAACGGTCCCTCCCCGTGTCACCAAACCACGTTACATGACAAAGACACATTTTCCCTCCTACATATTTAAGAAACAGAAGAAGAAAAGTCTTACCTGAGGCGTTTGACAACAAACGATATTAGACATATTTAATGTGAATTCAGAGTTTGGTTGGTTCGGGGAGGAAGAAAGGCGCGACGCGGCTTCAGGCACGGTGTAGTCGGTGGGTGTCGGTTTCCTCTCTCTGCAGGAGAAGCACGTCCGCTCTGCGTCTAGTCTGGACTCGATCTGACGGCACGGCTGGGTTAGCTGCCGCCACGCCCCCCTCCTGTGACGCAATCGCTGGTGGGCGGAGCTACAACGCCCACTCTCTTACTCTGAAAGTGATGAAATCGAGGGACTCGTACAAAGCATATGAGCATGTCACGTCAAAGGCAGGAATTATATCCAGCCTTCAAATGGTGGAAAAAAAACAACAACCGGAAATGACCGTCTAAAAGCTCAAACTCATCAGGAACAATACAATCTAATCTAGACCTAATATCTCTACACTCATGCACTTTAACTTACAGTATCACTGATTGCACAGCTCCCTAGATAGATAGATAGATACTTTATTGATCCCGAGAGAAATTCAAAGCATCCAGTAGCAGGTTACAAAGACATGACATGAGACATTTGTTACAAATTAAACCACAAAATTAAATTAAACTGTGCAATTAAAAATAGACTTATACAAGAAATGAACATAACCCGTGCAGGGATAAAAATATATGTGAAATTCAAACAAGAAACTAAAAACAGTTGAGGAAAAAAATCTGTAATTAGTAATATAAAAAATTAAAAAAGTGTTGACCTTCTGAAGTTGTGTTGTTTATATATGTACAGCGATGTTTTAAAAAGAAAATAGTGCAGACATTAAATACCAGGCAGAGCAAACATTAAATTAAAGGTGCTATTTAAGTAATTGTGCGGATCATTAAAGTATCCAACTAGAGGCTGACTCTTGGGACAGCTGTGCAGATGGGAAATGGAAAGTGTGTGCTGCTTTCCCCCTGCCATACCTGTGAGGTGTTGAACAGACGTACGACCAGGGGGACAAAAGAGTTCTTAAGTCTGTCTGTGAACACTGAACACACTCCTCTGCCTGCTGTCAATACTGTCCATTTACAACTCTGTTTTTGCACATTTACATTTAATCTTTCATATTTAAGACGAGTAATGCTTAGTTAGATCCTGGTTGTATATATTCCCATTCTTAGTTTTGATATTTTTAGTGCTTATTTACTTTGTATTTAATATTATATTGTGTTTTTTGCTCATATTGTGTGGATATGGATTGTTTGGATAACCTGCTGCTGTAATGCCACAATTTCCCAGTTTGGGATCAATAAAGTCATTCTATTCTATTCTATTCTATTCTATTCTATTCTATTCTATTCTAACATATGTGTATCACTGCACCATTATCTGCACTACCTATCTCTGTAACTGTACATACACTTCTTATCCCTGAACACAACTGTAGGCTACATACAGAGACACTACTTATTCTGCACACAGCTGTTCATGCACACAGACAATAGAGCTGTAAATATACTTTGTTTTAAAAAGAAGAAACATGTTCAATTTGTATAAAGATAAAGATAAACTTTATTGATCCCTCATGGGGAAATTTTTTGCAGTACAACAACTCAAGAAAACAGGAAACAGGAATATAATTATTAAAAATAAGAAGAAGTTAAAAATCAAACATATTTACATCAGTTAAATAAAGGGAGAAAAAAATACAATAATAGAATAATACAAGGTATGTACACTTCCACTTGTGGAAAGAGTTGTTATTAAAAACACACACAGTGTGTAGCATTATTGATGTGAGTCATGAGGTGGTGATGCTGTTAAAGAGTCTGATTCAACAGTCTGACGGCAGATGGGATGAACGACCTGCGGTAGCGCTCTGTCTTGTAGGGTGGGTGTCTATGTTTTTAAAGTTTTCTGTAGTTATTTTCAATTTGTATTTTTAAGTTACAGCACTGTTCTTTTACTTTAATATATAATTAGTGTTATTCTCTTTATTGTACATAGTTGTGTGTTTCATTTTCAATTTAGCTTTGGCAATGGCAACAATCATGGTGGATTATTACATATTTGCCCTCAGTGATTTTCATTTTCATTTCCAGTGTGTAAATAACTTCACAAGCCTATAAAATAGTTCATTCATAGTGTCTTTCATTCTTTAGGGATAGATAGATAGATAGATAGATAGGTAGGTAGAGAGTGAGAGACAGACAGACAGACAGACAGACAGACAGACAGACAGATAGATAGATGGATATGGTAATATATTGTTTAATTAGAATTAATTAAAATATAATTCATATGAAATGTTTGCCCCACGATTATCACCAATGCATGGCTACAGATTCTTTGTACTTCAGTATAGATTTCTGGTTTCAATCTATGGTGTAAATGCATTAGGTAATGATTATCCAGGAGCCTGCATGTCAGAGAGCTGATGAGTGACTGAAACAGCCCCCCTGTGGCCAGCAGGACTCAGCAGATTGCTAACAGACTCTACATAAAGAGAGAGTTTCTGTGTTCAATTTAATCCCGCTGTTCCTTGTCCTGACCTAGGGGCTAGCTAGCATTGCTCCTTTGCCTTTTGCTAAACACTTCTGTATTGAATTCTCTTTATTTTTATCATTGAGTCTATTCTTTTTTGAATGCATTATTAACCATGGGATTTATTCTGTCACTGATCCAGATTCACTTGCCAACTGTGGAAAATACCAGGAGTGACCCGGTGCTGCACAGCTCCTCAGAAATCTCACAGAACAAGAGCAAACGTCCGGGTAAAAAATCTTTTCACATATAATTTTTAGACCCTCTAACAATCATATTTTAGTTGAAGGAAATAAATTTGACAATAAAATATATATCTACGATTCCTCAGAAACGGCCTGGCTCAAGTCACTAATGTCTTATTTTGTTCACCTTTTTTAACCTTTTCTACTCATTCAATTTGTTAAATAAATTATAGGTTATTTTTAACAAGTTCTACTCTCTGTGATGTTTATATATGAAAAAACTAAACATTTTCTTGCAGAAATGAAAGAAATACATTCATGCCCAAAGTAACCCTAAAGTCAACCAGCTGGTTGACCTGCATATCTGCTTCCTGATTGGGTAATCTGAAAAATATAACCTGAAATGTTGCTTAATGAAGAAGCAGGAACACAATTTTACTAACAAATATTTTTTTGCAAATGGATTTCTTAGTGTGGAAGTCAAAGGCTTAAGAAAGAAGATCCAGGCTAAATCCCTCTCTACCACTGCACAGACGTCACCTAGTGGGCGAAGAACCCATTCACCTGCCGTCATGGTGTGAAGCTAAAGGCTACATCAGTGCATCAGTAATTAGATTAGAGGATAAGAATGGTATCAATAGCACTGTGTCAGCCAGTCTTTGTATTTGCATGATGAGTGTGTGTGTTTTCATGTCTGTATCTGTCTTCTTGTGATGTTGTTTGTGGACGTCTGGCACCGCATGTGACTCGTGACAGCTGCACAGCATTTTATCCACCATTGTGTTGAAAAATCACAGTGATAACAACCAAAGCCAGGCGTCCAGTCAACACAGATTAGGGTTTATCCAAACAAGGTGATCCCTACATAGCTGCTCTTGGTGCTGGTATTTTTTTTTATTACCACCACATGCACGATTTGATGTCATCCATGCAGGGCGGGGGAACGTTCTTGACAAGGTGAAAGAAGTTATTGCTGGCTCACATGCAACATGGCTGCCGTCCAAGCATGGTCACCTGCATCGTATTTCACCTCTATCGCTCTCTTTTCTTTTCTTTTCTGTTTTTTTTTTTTTTTGTAACTGCAGGTCACGTGTGCCTGGAAAGCGTCCAGCTCAAGGTCACACCACCAAGGACATTCTCAACAAAACAAATACTAGTATGATATATATTGCATGTTAGATCCCTGCAATAACAAAACAGGAGGATTGTTACCATAGCAATGAGTTGAGTCTAAGAATTACAGAATATGTTTTTCCAAAACAAGACAACCTCCTCCACTTTGCATCGGGTCTCACTGATCATAAGTTTTGTCTCCTCTAAAATCATGTTTACTGTCTGCAAAGTGAATGAAGTGAAGATCGTTGGCAAGCAGTGAGCACGGCCTCAGACAAGATAGTGGTGATTAAAGCCGATGGAGTTCAGCCAACATAACCCAGCCAGACTTAATAGTTTCCTCAGGAGCGGTTTAAGGAGTTGGATCTTGACCAGAACAATTAAATTCTGAATAAATGAACAAAAACAAATCGGTATCCAATAGGAGATATATTGCCATAAACCCCTTTTTTTTGGATTAATTGAACAAGCAGAAAACGAGAGAGGACACAAAAGGAGTGTGATAAATAAAAAGCATGTGTGTTTGAAGTGCTCAGTTTCGATGGAGGGAAACATTTTATGTATTTATGTAACACAGAACCAAGCTACCTCCGTTTGACTTCAAGCTACTTTAAACAAACTGTAAATCATGTTTCTGTGTTGTAAGTGTTATTTTTAGTTTTTCCACATCACTGGGGGGACACGACCTTTTTGACACCACACCACTTATAAAAGTATAAAATATTGTCATCCTTATGTTGAATATAAAATATGTGTACTGTATGTTGAGACATGATGACAATAAAAAGTAATTTAAAAAAAAAATGTTATATGTGAGTATGATAGTTTAATGTGTGTGGATTTCAGCATATTTTCCACTATAATAAACTGATGGCAACAAAATAAAACAAACACCTTTAATAAAATACATTTAGTGACACCACTTTGACCACATGAAAAAAAAAGATTGGATTATACTGATAATATACTGATAAGTAGCGCAAATGAACAAAAACCAGAACATGTGTAATCAGTATTTCTACTTTTCCTGAATCATGATGTGCACTAAAACAAATCTGGTTTAGAAATTGAAACAGCAACATTTGCACACTTAAAGGGATACTTCACCCATTAGCGTTAATCTTTGTATCATTAGAAACCTGGTAGTATTTTTGAATGGTCGTGCATCCTGCCCTCATTTTCCCCTGAGATGGGAAGTCTTTGTATTTCTGAGTCTGAGAAGGAGCTTCCAGTGACGCTAAATGACGATTTTTGCGTCACAGGAAGCTGTTGTGGTTAGCGGGTGAGCCGAGACTTAAGGCCTGCCTGTCAGCGGCGGTGAGGACGAGGAGCCGGGGCCGGCTCGAGCTGGGGCAGACTGGTAGTGTCGGTGCTC